AAGAGTAGAAAATCACATAAGATCTTTAGGATCAACATTAACATCCCTCACACATCATCATCCTTACCGTCACCCTCTCTCACATCCTCATAGAATCCTTGTCTATTTGCTTGAACAATAATATCATTATTATTCTCGGGATCACTTGAAGTACTTTAACCATTGAACATATTTCATTGATAACCATCATCTGGAAAAGGTAATTCAATGATTTATGCATTCCCTTCTTGATTGATAAAAGGTCCGGGATGGTGGTGTTGAAGGTTTCAGAGACAAAGAAAAGTTTGCAAGAGAATGGGGATTGGGCTAATTGTGATGGTGGTGGGGAAGAAACTCTGTGTTAATTGTGAGGGTGGAGAAAATCTTTGATGGAAGAGGTTGGGAGTCAGCATGCGGAAGAGGAAGAGAACACACATAAATTGAGGCTCACTTATCGGTTTAAGGTTATGTTGTTCATGGTATTGGGATGGGGGAAGTGAACGTGACCCGGTTCATGGAAAAACCCCGACCTGGCTTGCATGATTTTGCTTCAATTGACATGAACCTTGAAATCGTACAAAATCCTAAAAATCGTAGATTTTAAGGATTTTACAGTTTTTAATTGGGATTTTATGGGATTTCAAGGTTCAAAGATTTTATAGTAAAATCATGATCGAAACTCATAGGTAAGATCGTAAAATCGTAAAATTTTAAGATTAAAATTGAGATTTTGACTACATTGGTTGGATAGATTATTGATTAATGTGGATTGGATAACTGGGTTGCAGAAATGTGTGGTTTAAATTTAGCTCCAGATTTCTCGGACCACTGTGGAATTCTGATTATGCTTATGGTTCACACTACAACCTATCTCAAGACATTTAGATTATTAATTATGTGGGTTGAACACCATGATTTTTTCAATATTGAAGGAGAATAGGAGGAGGATGTACCAGGTTAGGGTTATTTGGGATAAAGCAGAGACTTTATCTATTAAAAGGTGATCTTAGAAAGTTGAATAAGGAGGTCTATGGTGATATCTTTGGTAAGGTGAATGAAGCAGAGGAAGTGATGAACAATTTGCAGCTGCTAGCTTTATATAATCCATCCGAGGATATCTTGGAAGAAGTAAAAGAGGCTACAAGAGTTTACCAACAAATGAAACAAGATGAGAATGCATTTTTCAGGAAAAAATGCATAATAAGATGGTTGGCATTGGGTGATTCCAACATAGCGTTCTTTCATAAATGAGTTCAGATCAGAATATCTAGAGAGCAAATAAAGAAATTATTTCAAATTAAGGGCAGAGTTAATTGAGGTTTAGGATATTGCTGACGAAGTTGTTCATTATTATAAACAAATCTTTGGCATGATTAGAGAGGATGTCAGAGCTATTGAGGAATTCATTAAAAAATGCATAGACAGGAGATTGAACAATGAAGAAAGGAAAAATATTATGTGAGGAGGTATCAGCTAAAGACATAAAGGATGCTTTGTTTGATATGGATGCATCAAATGCACCGGGTTTGGCTGCATATATAACTATACCTTGCATTAATGTAATATAGAAGATAATTGCAATGGTCTTGGCTAATGGGTTTCAAACTGTTCTGCCTTCGATGATAAGTAGGAATCAGCAGAGTTTATAAAAGGAAGAAGTATACTAGTGAATATTATGATGGCTGAAGAGATACTCCAAAATTATAATAGGAAGGGAATTAACACTAGAAGTGTTGTGAAGATTGATTTGATGAAAGAATTCGACTTGGTGAATTGGAATTATCTTGTTCGTGTGATGAAAATTATGGGGTTCCCAATGGAATTCCTAGAATGGATTTTTGTGTGTCTAGACTCAGCTCATTTCGGTATATTTGTGCATGGAAGTCTGTTAGGGTATTTTAAAGCTAAAAATGGATGAGACAAAGGGATCCTTTGTCCCATTACCTATTCACCATAGCTATGAAAAATGCTAAGTCTCATTATCGATAAAGCAGCTAGGGATAGACAAGTGTCATTTCACCCACAAATGTAGGCAGCCTTCTGATTTTTACAGATTGGTCTACCTGTGCATTAAATGGGGTAAATATGGTCCTTGATAGATTATATCAGTTGTCAATGCTCAAATGCAACCCTGAAAAGTGTGAGGTATTATTTTGTTGAGTGCCCCCTTAGTTTAAACAAATTGCATTGCAATAACTGGTTCTACGGAAAGAAAATTACTAGTTAGATATTTGGGGCTAACACTGATTGTTGGAAAGCTGTCAAGTCGGGAATGTGAAGTTCTAATTTATAAATTGACAAAGTGGATTGAATCTGGAGGGTTGATAAACTGTCTTATATTCACCTATTCATTACTGGATGACCCTCTTTGTTCTTCCAAAGAAAGTGATCACAACTATCCAGAAGATTTGTTTAGATTTCCTGTTGTTTAGAGATTGTTCTGGTAGGGAGAAGATCTCATGCGATAATTTGGTTGTGCCAAAAAAAGAAGGCGGTTTAGGACTGAAATATTTGGGGACTTAGGATGTGGCATGAGTGGTTAGGCTGGTATGACGATTACTCTTACAAGGGGACAACTTCTGGGTAGTTTGGGTCTATAGGTACAGGCTGAAGAGCCATTCAGTGTGGGATATTAAAACATATTCGACAAGATCTTGGGATTGGAAGCAACTAATGAAGCTTCGACCATGGTTTTGATATCGACGGACGTGGATTTGCAGGGAAATGTGTCTTGGCATGGTAAATAGATGATAAAGTTTCCTATGAAGTTAATTTGGGACTCTATCCGTGTTAAAAGACGTGGTTGTATGATGGAAGGTTCCCTAGGCTAAGTACACTATAACTAAGTATCAATTCTTAGTTTGGCTCATTGTTTTGGGTCAAATAGCAACCCGAGACAAGCTAAAAGCTTGAGGTAAAATTACAGATGGTGTATGTGCTCTTTGTCATAAACAGAGTGAGTCTAAAAGCCATATATTATGTATTTGTGATTACACACGAGAGTTCCTAAATGAAGTGACGAGAAGAACAGTGGGTATCCCTTCCACATGGGATGATATGTTAAGTTTAATCTATAGTATTGTGCAACGGGGTGGCTATATTGAACTTGTAAAAGGCTCATTATGGTGCTAGCGTGTTGGCCTCATCTGGAAAGAAATGTTGTAGAAGGGTATTTGAGAAACTTGTTCGGCCTCCACATCTATTGGCTTCCCTCTGGAAGGAGGAAGTGATACTTTATGGGGGAGGGGAGGGGAGGGCGGGTAATGTAGAGTTTCACAATCATAAGACTCTGAATTGCAGTCACTTAATAGAATTAGATTAGCATTCTTTTGTCCCAATTAGTATTTCAATTGTATTAAGAGACAATAGGCTAATTGTCTTGTATTTTTCGACTCTTGAGCCGACTTGATCAAGAAAGAGATGGCTTAATGGAAACTCCTAATTACCTAGAGGAAAAAAAAAACAAATATCAACATTTTGTGTCCACTATGTTGACATTTGTGAGAAACCGGAGGATCGTTTTGACAATTTTTATTTTGGCTTACACTGTAATCCAATTAAAACTGAAACTGCCCAAATCTCCCACGACTTCGAACCCCCAAAAGCAACTGAATCGCTATTCGTCGCCCTAAAATTCAAATTTTATCGCCCTAAAATGCACCAAATTGACGATCTTGCCCTCTAACTCCAATTTCAAACCAAAACACTAAACAAAAAATTCCTTACGTTACCCTGCCCAGCCGCCGCCGACCTCAACACGGACGGTGCTATCGTTGTGGATTCTTTTATCCGGCATATGCCCACCTCAACTTGAGCGTCGCTGGTGATTTACTTTTATTGCCGGAGGAAGAAGACGAAGAAGAAGCTTAGAAATCTTGACCTCACTATATATGATGACTTCGAGAAGATGAATTGCCACTCTGCACAAATTGAACTGGGAACGGAAGGGATGAATCCTGAAACCCAGAAATCAAAATAACAACCACAACCACAACACGAATAAAACCCTTCCAGACATTGAAACCCTAAAAACCCAGATCGAAACCCTTTCTAATTGGAATCCCGACAAGCTGAGATGCGCCGGTCTGGTAGAATCTAAATCAATCGCATATGACATCGGGAACAGAGACAGAGTGTGCCGTCGTTCGCAGCTAGGTGCGCTCCTTCCGAACATCTTGAGCAGAGATGGAGCACCTTTCTCCGATACCGCCACAGACTCGTCGTCGGAATGACCCACTGGTGATGGTAGTTTGAAGAGGTACGAGGTTCCGACCTGTCCCAACTCGCCGGAGACGGGTTTTTAACCCTTCTGGTGCTTCCAGCGACGGTCGGCGGGTTTGATGTACATTGTACAATAATTAAGCTAAGGGTATTTGAGTCATTTAATAAAAATTAGGGCGACGAATAAGATGTTTTAGGGCGACGAATAGAGATGGCAAAAATATCCGTACCTGTGGATATCCGCCCGAATCCGGCCTAGTCGGGTAGGGTAAAACCCGAACCCGAAGGACATTTAGTGGGTACGGGTAAAACCCGAACCCGAATATTGCGGGTAATGGGTGGACATGGATTTCTCACTATCCGACCCGAACCCGCCCGATTATAGACATGCATATGTATTTTGTCTAGAAATAATCATTATTTTTCTCTAACATATTTTATATTTAGCATATAAATATAACATTTTCATGAAATTGTGTTGTTTTAGTTAATTTTCTTCATTCTAGTGAATTCTTGTCGTACTTTTTCTCTTACTTAATATAAGAATACCCGTGAATGTTAACATATTGGTTGGAGTTATGAAGAGAAATTAATATCCATGGATAACCGTGGATACCCGAAACCCGAACGGGTATGGGCATGGTTTTGATTTTCTACCCGTTTCACATATGGGTATGGGTATGGGTAAAACCCGAAGTACTTTGGGTAGGGTAACAGATATGCACTATCCGCCCCCGACCCGACCCATTGCCATCCCTAGCGACGAATAGCAATGTCCAAAAGCAAACGCAATTAATTAAGCTCACAAAAACAAAATAATTTTTAATTTATTTTTACAATTACATCCCCAAATCCCGATCCAACCCCACCCCAAAATAATATTAAAAACCTAAAATACAAAAAGAAAAAGAAAAACAAATTTGCTGGCGACAAGCAAACACAAAACAAAAGCAAGGAACCGTTTCCGCTTCTTCTTCTTCCTCCTCTCTACAGAGTCAAAAACTACCACCAAACATCACCGATTTCAATTGGTCTCCGACCGCCCAAAATCCCCCCTCCCTCCTAATCTCTCGCCGGGAAAACTTCTCTTTCCTAAACTATCTATATGCTATTGCCGATCGATCGTTGCTTGCTGCTGCTGCTGGCGGGAGACAGACTTGCCTTCTTCCTGGTGACCGGTGGAAAGTAACACTTCCTTCTTCCCCCGATTATTATGAAGAACAACAGCAAAGGAAGCAACAGCAGCAAGAACACTACAAGCACCAGTCATGGATTCCTTCCTAACTCTTTGAAATTCATTTCGTCTTGTATCAAAACTGCTTCCTCCGGTGTCCGCTCAGCTAGCACATCGGTTGCCGCCTCAATCTCCCTCGACAATCTAGGCGGGGATAGGGACCAGGTTTGTCGCCCTCTCTTTTTTGTTTGCTTCTTTTTTTTTTTTTTTTCATGTCTTGTTTATTGAATTTGGAGTCTGGCTTGGTTAGAAATGGCAACTCTGGGATTTTAGGAGTTTTCGGGTTGGGGGGAACCGAGCGGACTTGTTTGGATGCTGCAAAAGTTTGGAGAGTGGGGAAGAACTGAGAGATCATTTTTCTTGCTTTGGGGCTTCTTTATCTCTGGCGCTTTGTGAACGTAGAGTTTGTGGACTGAATGGGACTGTTATTTATGGCGTAGGAGGACTAGGATGGCTTCTGGGTAGTGGAGCGGTCTTTCTTTTCTTTTTCTCTCTTTTGTTCCGGTTTCCATTTCTGTTCATCTTGCTTTTATGAACTTTTATCCCCCCATCCCCAACAAAAGGGTTGCAACGTGACCAACTTCATTCAATCAAGATGATGATATCTTGAGATTGGCGAGGGGTTGGACAAAAGGTGATAGGTAATTTAGCTAGTGGGATTTCGTAGTAGTTATTCGCTTGATTGGTGTTTGTTGATTTGGAAGGAATCCATCTTGAGCTCTGGATATTACTGGGCCAAAAACTTAATCTTCCTTTTTGGTTAGTTTTTCGCTTTTGGACAGACAGAGTTGTGAACTGTTTCTGTTAATGTAAAATTCTTCGATGGGTTAATTGTTGGCTCTGGAGGGTGTGCTTAGTAATGTATGGCAAATATGGGGGTTGCAGCAGATAGGATAGGAAGAACTTGCTGCATGGTGGGGATCTAGATAGATGCTTTAGAGTTTATGTGTGCTGTTATGTTTAATTGCAAGCATTTTCACATGCCGTTCACTGCTCATTACTAGATGACCACATTGATTAATGGTTGACATAACTCTTGCCCTGCCCATGGTGTGAACAGGTCCTCTGGGCCTCATTTGACAAGCTACAATTTAGTCCGTCCTCCTTCCGAAATGTGCTCTTGCTTGGGTACTCCAATGGCTTCCAAGTGATTGATCTTGAAGATGCCTCTGGTGTGACTGAGCTTGTTTCAAGACGGGATGATCTGGTCACATTTCTACGTATGCAGCCACTCCCTGCTAAGGCTGAGGGTTGTGAAGGATATAGAGCTGCACATCCTTTGCTCTTAGTAGTTGCTTGCGATGAAACTAAAAGCCCAGCAATTGTTATCAATGGGAGAGATGAATTGGGCAGAGATGGCTTCAATGAGAATCATGCTGGAGGATTTGCACTTTCTCCAACTGTTGTTCGTTTTTACTCTCTGAAATCCCACAACTATGTTCATGTTCTAAGGTTCCGTTCTCCGGTATTTATGGTAAGATGCAGCCCTCAGATAGTGGCTGTGGGTCTGGCTACACAGGTAAGCATGGACTTGCACTAAATTTTGTATGGTTATCTTGATGGAACACTTTCCTTGGTCTCTTTTTTAAAGCTAGTGATTCTGCTGCAGATATACTGCTTTGATGCTCTCACTCTAGAGAACAAGTTCAGCGTGCTCACCTATCCTGTTCCTCAATTGGGCATCCAAGGAGGGATTGGGGCGAACACTGGATATGGGCCAATGGCAGTGGGTCCAAGGTGGTTAGCTTATGCTTCTGACAATCCATTGCTATCAAACACTGGGCGCCTAAGTCCACAAAGTCTTACACCTCCCATGGGTGTAAGTCCATCAACTTCACCTGGCAGCGGCAATCTAGTGGCTCGTTATGCCATGGAATCGAGTAAGCAGTTAGCTACTGGATTGATGAGTTTAGGTGACATGGGCTACAAGACTTTGTCTCGATACTGTCAAGATTTTATCGCTGATGGTTCTGGTTCACCTGTCTCTCCAAATTCTTGTTGGAAAGTCGGACGAGTTGCAGCTCATTCTGCAGATGCTGATACTGCTGGAATGGTCAGTTCTCGTAAGCTCAGACAGGCTTAAATATAACATAATTGTCCTACAATTCCAGATTAAAAGATGAAAAGAGAAGGTGATTCCTTGCATGTTTATGAGCTTTTTTTTTTTGCTGTTCCCCCCTCCCTGTATTTAAGCTGAACTTTGCCAGACTGAGATGCTTAATGAGGTTATGTAGTTTCTAGACTTACTAAGGAATAGTAGGGGGATTGCCTGGGATTTCAAAGGTACATTTTATGCACATATGAGTTAATTTCATTAATCAAGCATAAGTCGAGGCTTACTTGATTTTTACTTCGATTTCTGCAGGTTGTTGTGAAAGATTTCATATCCAGAGCTGTGATTTCACAATTTAGAGCTCATACAAGTCCCATTTCTGCTCTATGCTTTGATCCAAGTGGTACGCTTTTGGTTACTGCATCAATTCATGGGAACAACATTAATATTTTCCGGATCATGCCATCCTCTGTTCACGGTGGTTCTGGTGCAAAGAATTACAATTGGAGCTCTTCTCACGTGCACCTTTACAAGCTTCATCGGGGCATAACATCTGCAGTACATCTCATTTTCTCTAGTGGTTTGTCAATTAGGTAGTTTGATTCTCAAGGAACAGTGTGGTTAGTAATCTCATGTCATGTGTGTCTTGTTTGTGGTTTTCCCAGGTGATCCAGGATATATGCTTTAGCAGTTATAGTCAGTGGGTTGCCATAATTTCATCTAGGGGAACCTGCCACATATTTGCACTTTCACCATTTGGTGGCGAGAGTGTTCTCCAAATGAAGAACTCTGAAGTAGATGGGCCCATCCTATTACCGGTGTTTTCTCTACCATGGTGGTCCACTCCCTCATTCCTGGTGAACCAACAATCCGTTTCTGCATCCCCACCATCGTCTGTTACTCTCTCTGTGGTGGCCCGAATAAAGAATACCCATTCTGGCTGGCTTAGCACAGTTAGCAATGCGGCATCATCTGCTGCAGGAAAAGCGTCAATACCATCTGGTGCTATTGCTGCTGTCTTCCACAATTGTGTGCCGCAAGATTCCCAACCTTCTCATTTGAGAAAAGTAGATGCCATGGAGCACCTTTTAGCTTATACGCCATGTGGACATGTGGTTCAATACAAGTTGGTGTCGTCACTTGGTGCAGAACCTAGTGAAGCTACTCAAAGAATCGGACCGGGTTCCTCACTTCAGACTGCAGATGAGGAACTACACGTGAAAACTGAATCTGTTCAATGGTGGGATGTTTGTAGAAGAGCAGATTGGCCGGAAAGAGAGGAGCATATCACTGGCCTTACTCACAGCAGACAAGAAAATTTAGATATGGCAATGGATACTTCTGACTGTGAAGATAATGAGGCAGGAAAAGTTGGCGCTTCTGATGTGGACATAATGAAATCACATGAGCAGTCTCACTTGTATCTTGCAAATGCTGAAGTCCAGATGAGCCCCTGGAGAACACCGCTCTGGCAGAAATCCAAGGTATTTAAATTATGATATAGCTGAGAAAAATTGTGTTTCTTGATCTTCTGGTTTTTTAACACTCTTTCCATTGGAATAGGTGTATTTCTATGCAATGAGTGGGATTGAAGGTGACAAGCAGAACGTTGCTGAAGATCACTCCGGTGGAGAGATTGCTATAGAAAAGGGTCAAGTCCAAGAAGTTGAAATCAGGCGGAAGGATTTGTTACCTGTTTTTGACCACTTTCACAGGGTTGCTGATTGGAGTGACCGGTAAATTTGTTTTTTTTAATAATTATTATTCATTATGTGTCTACTACATTCTACATCACAGCATCCTAGATTCTGTTTATTCTTTGCAACTTTCTCGGGTAATTAGCATAAATGGTCACAAATCTTTGCACTTAGTACAAAACAGTCGCAAACCTATAATTTGTAACCATTTGATAACAAAACTTTTTACTTAGAACAAAACGGTCACAAATTAAACAGTGTGACCATTTCATGCCAGTTCAAACTTTTGTTACCGTGTCGTTGCAAATTAGACTTTTGGTGACCGTTTTGTACAAATTAAGTTCAAAAGTTTGAACGCTCAATCACCGTTACAATTCGCTCTAGTTGTATGGTGGTTTTGTTAATGTATGTGAATGATATGATCGTCATAAAGGATGACAATGAGAGAATTCAAAAGTTTGAACGCTCAATCACCGTTACTTTCTTGGTATCGAAATTTGTTTTTGATAGATTGGTATCGAAATTGAAAGGTCAACTGAGGCATTCTTATTTGGCAAAGCAAATATGTCGATGAACACATGAGCTGACATCTTATATGTCGTTCAAGTGGTTAGTGTCATATACTTAACGAACAAACTACCCGACCTCAAAACATGACAAACATTTAATTTGTAACGATTCGGTAACAAACCTTTTCATTTAAAACAAAACGGTCACAAATTAAATAGCGGTGACCATTTTATACAATTTCAAAGTTTTGTTACCGTATTGTTACAAATTAAAGGTTTGTGACCGTTTTGTACTAAGTGCAAAGATTTGTTACCATTTATGCTAATTACCCCAACTTTCTCTTAGATCCTCTAATTGTTGCTCACTATTAACTTGTATATATTTGATCAACTAGTAGGCACCAGTTGATATGTCCCACTTGATTGAAGAAGCAACTTCAAATTTCAAAATATTATACAAACCCCAACTTCTTACATTTACTTTAAAAGTTGATGATTTTTTATTTTTCTTACAAATGCACCTCAACTTTTACTAGTTGTTGTAGTTGCCAACTCCGTTTACTCCAAATTTGTTGAATCATTTGTCTTAAACTGCTTATTTGCTTTTCGCCTTTTTCTTTTCTCCCTGTAAGTTAGTGTTCAATTAAGCTTGTCTTGCAAGCAGCAGCTTCCCAAGATATATCTGCATGATCCCTTTGAAAATGCATCTCGGCAGCAGAGTTCGTTGTTCCACATGCCACCCACCTTCTTAAATTTTTTATTTGGAGGTATTCCTTTCCATCATCCTTTGCAGGGAACTGCGAAGGGAAATATCTGCTCTGTCTACTGGGTCTGCTGCAGCTTTCCAGCCGAAGATGTTTCCATCCAGTTCTGCTGCAAACTCAAATGGAGGTTTGCACTTATTTCAAATACAGACGACGTGGCTTATTAACCTCTTGATTGCAACTCATCTCAAACATTCTCGGTTTTCTGACAGGGTCATCAACAAAATTGTATATATCTGCTCAACATAATCCTGGCAAATTCGGAGGGATTTCGGGTTTAGCTTATCGAAGCCCAAGTAGCAATAATTGTGGTTTGCTTTCTTTTAAGCCTACTCCAATGAGTATCTCTCCTGCTGAAGAAGATAGTAATAACTCTGTGCATAGTGATGTAGTATCTTTAACCCATGGCTCGCCTTCTCCCGAAAGAAATATGGGAAATGAAGGCCGGTCAACAAATAGTGTTCTGACCAGTGAATCTTCAAATGCAAGCTCCAGACGTTCTGATTTGAGTGCAAATATTATAGACGAGGGGATGATGGTGAATGAGTCTCCAGATTTCGAACAGCTTTTCCAGGAGGGCTACTGTAAAGTTGCTGCCCTTTCTGAATGCTGCGAATCGGAGAAGAGCAAAGTCGTCAGTCCATTGGATAACAATGCCAGTCCTCAAGGATTGGAGAAGCCTGATGATGACGATGATGATATGCTCGGAGGTGTCTTTGCTTTCTCAGAGGAAGGTAATTTCCATACTGAATGTGCAATCATGACCAGTTTGAGTGCGTATTGCATGAGTAGCTTTGTGAAAGCATGACCATGATATTCTGCACATGAGCATTACTTGCATGGGTGTTCAATCAGATCAGGTACCATGAACTTATAAGATTTGGTTAGGTGGTATGATTTGGTGATCTTAACTAATTCGGCTTAAGTGGTTATGGTTATTTTGGTTTGTGTAATTTGCTAGTATGGTTGAGACATTTTGTTTCATGGTTAATAAAATTCTTTCAAGCTTAATTGATTATGTCATTACCAGTCTAAGTAATCATTTGAATGCCTCTGATGACAATCCACATTTGATAAACTAACTAATAAAGAGAATTTATAGAACATTCAATTGTTCCATCTGGGCAAACATGAAGTTGTTATTTTAATGTGATGAGACCATGTTGTTTTGTTGCTTATTGCTAACAGGTTAACGTTAGCATCTTCCGGTCGAGCCATGGCTGGCTGATGAAAGTCGCATTCTATCTATTTGTGATAAGTGTCGGCCACCGGAGGAGGGACATGGAGAAGGGTGTGCATTAGGGTTGTGTACTAATTCGTAAGGACACAAGCGAAGATGGGTTTGCGAACCAGTGTGGCAATCAATGGGTACTGACTGATGTGAATCCTGGGGGAGAAAGAGAAGAAGATCATTGCATTTGGCAAAAATCTCTTTCGATTTGCTTCTTCTTCTAATTCTAGTTGTACATGCTGTAAATTTGGTAAAAATTCACAGGATATAGCTTGATTTGTGTGGGGGGTAAAAGAAGGTTTACGTTCTTCTGTCTATGCTGTCTGTGTAACATTATTCTTCATTCTTGGCCAAAAGGAAGGGGGAAAAAAAGGAAAATGAAGTGGATGGAAAATGATTTGCAATAAAGAACACCACTACAGCTGATTCTTTCTTCCTGATCTCTCCATCATCATTCACATAGCGATAGCATGGGGATAATAAGGTAAGGATAGGGTAGAACTGAAATTCCTGGTGTATACATGTTTATGCTCTGCTCCTCCTAATCATAATTCGTAACTATCGGGAGGGAGGGGAGCCAAAAAGATTGCATCTTGACATGGACTTCAAATCAATAATGGGTTGTCTTGTTTGTTTGTTGATAACATTGAAGACGGAATACGTGGGGAATCCATTGTCCATACCCCAAACCCATAAACGGATAAGTGTTGATAACCAAACCAAACCAAATCAAATGATAACGCCACGCCTTCCTCTTAATTACAATTTAAAAGCTATAATCCGTCTTGAACACCTTGTTGCCGGATTCCTCATCACCACCACCACCAATCCTTTTCCTTCCTTGCTCCACCAAATCATCATCATCATCACTTTCGTCTGCGTCTCCCTCAAATGCAGGGTGATTAAGAACACTGTTAAGCAGCTGCGTCCCTCTAAGAGCATTGGTTAAAGGCAGATGACCTTCAGGGGTATCCTCATTAAGCTCCCAAATGAACTCCGCTGGAAAGGCTCTGTAATTGTACTGCTCCACTTCGCTGTCTGGGAGCTTCTTCATCCACCCAACTTTGATGAAGAAGTTGGTGAAATCCATTTTGGCCTTCTTCTTCCATATCTTCTTCTGGACGCTGTACCCGAACCTGCCCTCGCTGTGCTCCTTCCAGAGCTCGTCCACGGCCCTCAGCTCTGGTGTCGGTATGAATTGGACCTCCGAGAAGAAGACGTAGCCACGCGCCACCGCGGGCTCTCCGGCCAGGGCGATGAGGAGCCGGCGGGTCTCGTCGTCGGCCTGGCGGTACTCCCGGGCCTCCAGGTGGCGGCGGAGGAGGTCCAGGGAGGTGGAGGGAGCGGCGGGTTGGGAGGTGGAGGGTGTGGTTGATGTGATGGAGGAGAAGGCGGTGGTGGTGGAGAGGGAGAGGGAGAGGGATGACGTGGCGGCGGTGGGTTTGGGGAAGAAGGTGGAGGAGAAGAGGGGGATGGCGGTGGCGGTGGAGTCCGTGTGGTGGAGGAGATTGGTGAGGTGGCGGTGGAGGGAATGCAGGGAATTGGTGGCCATGGTTTCAATTTCAACTTGGATCGGATGGGTTTAAAGTGTTAAGAGTGAGTTTTGTGGTGTGCTATTGAAGTGAAGTGGGTGTGTGGGAGATAAGATAAGAGAGAGGAAGGGTATGGGACTGCTGCTGGGAAACGGAATGGTCACTTTGATTGGCCAAATGTGGGTGAGGCTAGATCCTATCCTCTCAGTCTCTGCTATGCCAAGTGGAAAGAATATTTTGGGGGTGAAATGGGTAAGGTTTGTTTAATTTGGTGGCTAGGATGAAATTTGCACATTCAAACAATAATTTCTTGGGCTGAAATGTTATTTTTCATTCACAACTCACAACTCACAAGAGATTATTTATTTTGGAGTTGTCATATACACAAAAGGTTTTAATCATTTTTTGTTGGAGGATATATAATAAATATAACCCAGCTTTTAAGTCATTGGTAGAAAAAGAGCTTGTAAGTCAGTGATAAAACAATTTATGGTTTGCATAGGATGTCGCTCACACGTCCATTAAGTACTAGCTTGTTGTGTAATCCGTTGGTCGGAACGTAATTTGAATGCAATGTATTTATGATGTGTATTTAAATTTTCTAAATTAATTGAAATATTGAATTTCGTATGACATTAAGGTGACATCGAAATTATTTTTCCATTTCCGAAATTCTTATAACTTTTCATCAATGGTGAACAATGTAATCTTAATGATTATAACCAAAGTTGTCAAACTGGTTTAAGTCGTTGAGCCGGTCAAGCAAGTAGTTTGAAGTTTAATGGTTTGATTGAGGTTCAACCTGTTTGAGCCGTTTTACACCTTTTATAAATATATTTACATATAAGATAAAAATTTAGTGACTGAAATAGAATATACTAACTTATATCTATTAAGAACTCAAATAGTCAAATTCCATAAAAAAAACATATCTATCTCAAGATCAACCCACCATTCCCTTGCCTCTCTCCCCCTCCCCCTCCCCCTCCCCCTTCCTCACTCTCTTCTTCTCCCTCTCTAACGATCAGACCTTTGATTTTGTAGAGCCCGTTTTGGAGCACGATTTTGGTCGGACCTAGTCTAACCAGTCGCCCGATAGAGGTGTCACAATCTTGGTTCTAACACTTGTGAATAACCATTCATAACTTGTCTATTTAATGATGTAGTCACTTAGTTGCCTATGGTTGAAAAGAAAATTGACATAACAAAAAAAGAAAATTGACACTTGGGTCCTGCAAGTACCCTTAATTGACATAGCTAGGGGTGTCAATTCGGGTTCGGTTTTTCGGGTTTACCCGAAACCGATCCGATTATATACATTTTCGGTTTTTCGGGTTCGGGTTCGTTTCGGGTTTCGGGTTCGGTTTTGCTTATCGGTTTTTCGGATTTTGGCTAAAAACCTCCAATGAATAGAACTCAACTCGTATTTTTAGGAGTTCGGGTTTTCGGGTTTCGGTTTTGCTTTAATCGAACCCGAACCCGATAAGGAATTTTCGGGTAACCTGAACCCGCAAGTCCTTATCGGATTCGGGTTCGGTTTTAGTGATTTCGGTTTCGGGTTTTCGGGTTTTTTCGGGTTTCGGTTTGGGTAACACGAACGAACACATTTTAACGTGGTTCACTAAGACAATGTGTGCTAGCTAATCCATGGGCAGAGGAGAACAAATTTCACTAATTTGAGGAGAGTATGGGTTACAAACTCAAATTCCAAACTGACAAACCAAACAAACTAACCCGACTGACCCTACAACAAATTAGGGTGGTGAGGAGTATTTATAGAACTCTTCTCCTAATCTCAAACAGAAAACCAAACACCTTTTCCAAACCTACAAGGAAAAGGCCTAAACAAAGCCCAAACACAAACCCAAACAAAATAGGCCCAAAACACAAAACAAACCCAAATCAAATTCAAGTCATATCCTAACAATCTCCACCTTGACTTGAATTCTCTCTCAAATACCAGATGTACCAGACACAACCGAAGTTGCCAGATGTACCAGATGCAACCAAAGTTGCCAGATGTACCCAGACGCGATACATATCGCCAAATTTATCCAGATGCGATCGAAACCGCCAAACTCAAACGCGATGCAAATCGCCAAACTCAGATGCAATCAGAATTGCCAGACGTACCAAACTCCTCCAAATAAGCTGTAACCGAATCTCCCCTGCCTCCAAATGCCCCTAAGGGCGGTCAACAACTCAAACCATTCGGCAAATCCAACTCCTGTTGATACTTGCCATTCAGAACCAGCTTGGTGCACTTATCACCAACAGAACATGTCATGACGGAACCTTGTAGATTATATAAGGCACCCCGCTTGACACCTTTCAGAATCACCTTAGAACCTTTGTAGACAGACAACACTCCACCTTCACCTTTGAAACTGAAACCCTTGCTGTCGAGTAGACGCAAAGATATCAGATTCTTAGTCATCTCTGGAATATGCCTAACATTGTTCAAGGTGCGAACAGAACCATCATGTGTCCTCATCCTGACAGAGCCTCTTCCAACAATCTTACAGATAGCACCATTGGCCATAGAATCATGCCCTCCATCTATTTGCTCATAAGTTGAAAAATACTCCATGCTTGGACACATATGGTAATCAACTGCAGTATCTAAATACCACACATCCTGATGACGTACCTGCTCATTCACTGCTAAGGCTAAACCATCTTCAGAATCAGAGTTAGTTTCTTCCGCCACAGCAGCGAATGATTCCTTCTTCTCCTGATATTTCTTTAGCTTAGGACAATCAAATTTCCAATGTCCTTTCTCCTTGCAGTAATGACAGATATCATCCTTCAAACCAGCAGAATTCGAATTGGTATTCGCCTTCCTATTACCAGATTGTTGTCTCCTACCACTGGTAGCAGCCAACCCAGATGCCTGATTTTCTGAACCAGAACCACACGCCTTATGTCGAACCTCTCTAGTATGTAGAGCAGATCTGACATCTTCCAGAGTCAAACTATCTTTCCCAGCAATAAAAGAATCCAAAAAATTCTCATATGACTGTGGCAAAGATACCAACAGAATTAAGGCAGCATCCTCATCATCTATTTTAACATCAATATTCCGCAGATCTAACAAGATAGTATTGAGTTGTTCTAGATGATTCCTGAGAGAAGTACCTTCCTCCATACGCAAACTGAACAAACGTTGCTTCATATGCAACTTGTTGGTTAAAGACTTTGTCATGTATAGACTTTCAAGCTTCAACCATAAGCCCGCAGCAGTCTTCTCAGTAGCAACCTCAGTGATGATGTCATCAGCCAAACAAAGCAAGATTGTAGAGTGAGCTTTCTCCTCCAAAGTAATCCACTATTCTTCATCTATGCTTTCCTTCTTCGATTTTCCAGACAACGGAGCCCACAAACCCGTTGTTTCAACAGTGCTTGCATCTTGATCTGCCACAAACTGAAACTGTTTCTTCCGGTAAACTTATCAATCTTCATACTGATAGCAGTCATTCTTACTATAAAAAAAACTCTAACCAAACTTCTCACCAAAAAAGCGAGACCAAAACACAACTACCCAAAGTTAACTTCAAAGCGATTCCTCCACCGAACCAAGCTAAAGAATTGAAAGCTACCTCCACAAAGCAAAACTTCAGTCCAGCGCCAAATTCCCAAAACCGCAACCAAAGGCTCTGATACCACTTGTCAGAACAGAAGCGTGCAATCGATAATCCAAACAAACACGAACGAACACAAATTTAACGTGGTTCACTAACACAATGTGTGCTAGCTAATCCACGGGCAGAGGAGAACAAATTTCACTAATTTGAGGAGAGTATGGGTTACAAACTCAAATTCCAAACTGACAAACCAAACAAACTAACTCGACTAACCTTACAACAAATTAGGGTGGTGAAGAGTATTTATAGAACTCTTCTCCTAATCCCAAACAGAAAACCAAACACCTTTTCCAAACCTACAAGGAAAAGGCCAAAACAAAACCCAAACAAAATAGGCCAAAAACACAAAACAAACCCAAATCAAATTCAAGTCATATCCTAACATATGCCACTCTATTAGGATCTATTCGCGGGACTCTTGCTCAAGGGTGGTTGGTTCAACTAGTGCATACGTATCGTGAAGGGAATAGAGCCGCAGACTGGCTCTCGAAGCACAATCTGATCTATCCCTTCGGTACATATGAACTTGATGAGCCTCCGTTGGATTTGGATCATTTTATCAGGGAAGATGTGATAGGTGTAAGCTTTCCTCAAAAAAATCCTCCAGGAAAGATGAATGTGTCTGCTTGTTCTCTTTATTTGATCCTTTCTGTAGACAGCTGCAGATTCAGGGGTGTGTCCCTGTTGGTGGCCTTGTTGTTTCTCCATGTAATCGTTTAGGCTGACTCTTGCCTCCTCTTAATAAAAAAAACAGGGAGTGATAAAACAATTTATGGTTTGCATAGGATGTCGCTCACACGTCCTTAATTAAGTAATAGCTTGTTGTGCGATCCGTTGGTCAGAATGTAATTTGAACACAATGTATTTATGATGTGTATTTAAATTAATTGAAATGTTGAATTTCGTATGACATGAAGGTGACATCGAAATTATTTTTCCATTTCTGAAATTCTTATAACTTTTCATCAATGGTGAACATTGTAATCTTAATTATTATAACCAAAGTTGTCAAACTGGTTTAAGTCGTTGAGCCGGTCAAGCAAGTAGTTTGAAGTTTAATGGTTTGATTGAGGTTCAACTTGTTTGAGCCGTTTTACACATTTTCTAAATATATTTACATATAAGATAGAAATTTAGTGACTGAAATAGAATGTACTAACTTATATCTATTAAAAACTCAAATAGTCAAATTCCATAAAAAACATATATATCTCAAGATCGACCCGCCATTCCCTTGCCTCTCTCCCCCTCCCCCTTCCTCTCTCTTCTTCTCCCTCTCTAACGATCATACCCTTGATTTTGTAGAGCCCGTTTTGCAGCACGACTTTGGTTGGACCTAGTTCAACCAGTCGCCCGATAGAGGTGTCACAACCTTGGTTATAACCCTTGTGAATAATCATCCATAACTTGTCTATTTAATGATGTAGTCACTTAGTTGCCTATGGTTGAAAAGAAAATTGACATAACAAAAAAAGAGTGTATGAAAAAGCATAGCATAAATAGGAAACTCATGAAGATAACCTTTAGTCAATATTTATTTATTTTGCTTGAAAAACAATACATATATAGCAATATCTAAACCTTAAAGTATTCTGCACAATATAATAACAAAATTAGTAAGAAAATAACATTTTCCATCCATACTCTATGCAATGAAAAAATTATTTATCAACTAAGATACTCTAAATTTAGTGGAAGGACAATCTAATTCGCTCAAAAAAAAATTAAACATATCTTGTGGTACCTACCTTGCTAATGCACATGACCCCATCAACGCGTCCATGAAAACTCCAACCCCACTTTCATGATTTGTCTTGTACGACGTTATTTCATATTAAACTAAGTAACTATGAATGATACATCTAGTCAATTACCCTATTGAAATCATCTATAAAAACTGATATTCATAAATTGTGTTCTTTTAAACTCACCCATTTTTCCAATCATGCCATATTATCAAGAAATTTAGGATTTAACGATTAACCAAACTAAAACTTTAAAAAAACTGGTCACTTACAGTTTGCATAACAATATCGTTGCTTTAATAGTTTTAAAAATCAATACCAATTTAAGAATTCTACATCACATCTACACATTCAGTATTGCAATTCAATATGCAATATTCGAAACAATGATATTTGGGTTGCAATTTTAAAATTATTCTCCATTTATAAGAGGACATAAATTAAATTTACTATTAAACTCAAATTAAAATAATCAAAATATGAAAATTAAAATATCAAATAACAAAGAAAGTACTTTTGGGAGAGTTAGTGGGCTAGCTAACAATAGTGAAGAAGATATAATTTTTAGATTTTTAGATTTTGTATTTAAAAAGATACAAACAATTTCTTTAGTGTAACTGGTATTGGTTGTTGTCTTCGTTTGGAAAGACCATGGTTTGAATTTCGAGATTGATGTTTTTTTCATATGAATGAAAAATAAATAATGATTATGAAGACACAATTACACTTACTACTTTTGTCATCGTTACAGAAAATTCGAAATACTGAAAAATTGCCCTCAACTCTACTATAATATATTTGTAGAAGCAAGGGAAACATATTATCGATTCAATTCGGAAGTTGATTTATGAATTTGTTGTAATGAGCTAACTAGCAAGTCATGTGAGATGAACAATACATGGTTTAATCTCAACTTGTTTGCTAGAGGAACTAGCTCACCAGCCAACTCATCAAATACTCAGCCAATTGTTTGATGATTTTTTGTCAACTCCAACATTGAACCATTAGCAACAAGTTGAACTCATTTGCATTTCTAATTTTAAGGTTCGGCAACAAGGACACTCAATGTCATATATTAGTGTTAATATTATATGAGACAAACCATCGTAGTCAACATCTCGAATTTAATCTTAAATTTTTACGATTTTATGATCTTATCCATAGGTCTTGATTCTGATTTTATTTATATAATAAAAATTATAGATTTATTTGTGTTTATTTAGAAGACAAACTTATCTTCAAAAGTAAACAAGTGATATGGTTGATTGTTATTAAGGATATGCATTGTTATTACTATACATTGCTTAATTATTAATTTTAATATAAATATTAAAATCTTACTATTTTACCATTTTTAATCTACCATTTTATTTTATCTCAATTTTCAATTTTACGTAAAATCAAGAGTCTTACTGCATTGAGCCCAACTACTTCACTCCAAATTATTGATAATTCTCAGGTACAAGTTGAACTTGTACCATAATGGTAAAGGTACAAGAACATTTTGTACGGCAATGTATAGGTACAAACTGAGCATGTACCATAACGTTAAAGGTACAAGTTCAGTTTATACCATAGAGAAATTTGTATGAAAATGTATAGGTACAAACTGAACTTATGCGATAACATTAAAGGTATAAGTTCAGTTTGTAACATAAAGGAACTTTTTTTATAACACCATAAAGGAACTTGTACTAAAAGTAGACCTGGCAAATTACAACCCGACCCGTTGACCCGACCCGAAACCGCCCGAAAACTAGAGATTTTTGTAACTCGAAATCCGAATGACCCGAACCCGATAACCCGTGGTTTTTTGGGTCAGGTTAGATGGGTTAGCGGGTCGACCCGTTAGACCCATTCCATTTAATATATTACTCCCAAAATATGATAAAATCACTCATAAATTGGTGAGATGTTTAAAAAAATCACAAGGATTTGAATGACATGTTTGGAGTTTAAGGATAATCAAATATCATGTGTTACTTGTAGTAGTATTACTCTTGTGATTACTTTTTGACGATTGGCGCAATTTATATTTCATATCATTAGCGTGGGAGGATTTGAGAATATATTAATTGACATGTGTTAGGTAAACTATTGTCATGCATATGTGAAAATTTGTGTTCGTTAAGAAAATATGAAACATGTTTGATATTGTTTCTGAGAACGCTCATAACCCTAAATGACATATAACTAATGGTTCTGGGCTTTTTCCGCCGCAAGTAAGCCCCCAATAGGGCTAGGAGGAACATCAGTCCAAATACAAATCTGGTTCCACTAAGGGGCCAGGTGAGCCAAACAATGGGCCACCGAATTCGATTTTCTAGGAGTAAAAGCCCACTTAACTCTATATCCAGACAAAGCTGCATTGATATCGGCTAACTTCCTTATCTCCTTGCACCAGATCCCCAACTCAGTATGATCTGCTTCTTCTCCTGCATCTTCTCCGTCCAAGAGCTTAATCAAATTCAAGCAATCCGACTCTACAATCAGGGGACCCCATTCTCTCCGATTGGCTTCTCTCAGGCCAAAAATAACGGCCCTAGCCAAATATGACATGTAACCCGACCCGAAACAAAATGGGTTGGGTCAATATTTGACCCGAAATAAGCCAACCAAATATGACCCGAACCGTAACCGTAGTTCCTAACCCGAAATTACCCAACCCGACCCGATTGCCAGGTCTAACTAAAAGTTAACTGTACAAATTGAATTGTACCATAACGTTAAGGTGTCGTTTATATGTATCAATTCAGAGCGAAACAATTTGGCCAATTTTCATTTTATAAAATAAGTCAATCATAGAGAGTCAAATCAACTTGCCTACCCTTACCCAGAAAATTGGAGTTGACTCAAAGCGAAAAATTTGAAATTCACCAAGCTAAATTGATCCATCCAAATTTTCTGTTGACAAACAGGTCAATATGATCCAATTGTCTTACAACGAGATAATTGGGTAAAATTGATTTGTTTCAATTTCCCATCGAGACGACCTCTAAAAGGTACATTTTTGCAGTTTGTACCATAAATGAATTTGTACAACAATGTACAGTTACAAACTGAATTTATAACATGTACAAGTTAATTTTGTACCATAAAGATATTTAAGTAAACAAAAGCACTGATGTTATGAAGTATTTTAAATTGTTATGGTGCATGATCGATTTCACGCATTTGTGTTTTGTGAACCCTCTGCATTTCAGCAGTAACACATGCTGTCTGTAGCCGATGCATTTCCAGCAGACCTTTTTCTCAATTCCTAGTAAATTGTAAGCATGTACTGATATGAATGACATAAATTGACTCCTGATCATCTCATCGAGTGCATTTCAGAAACGAACAAACTGAATCCTATATCATTAAACAATAATTGTTGATAAGCTTGGGACCAAGTCTAGATGAAAATATGCAGCTGATTGCAAGATAACAAGAAGCTGCACCTAAATACCAAAAGCAGTTCTAGATTGTCCTCGTTGATATTGCAAATTGATTCTTCATGCAAGGCAGCTGAAGAAAATATTGACAGCTTCATTTTCTTCTTACATAAGCAAGCAAGAACTCAGAATTAGATAAAGAAAAGGTCCTGCACGCAAGTCGGTCATCTTGTGTACATGTTGCCAGAGTAGAAATGCCCCCAAGAAATGGATAAAGAGAGCATTGAGCGCCATGAACTCTGAAGCCAACAACACACTGCACTGTTAAGGAAGCAATAGCTTAAACTAATATGCATGAGAAACCAATACCTTGTCCAGCGAGGATGTCATAAATTCAACAAGTTCTGGTAGCACTAAAAAAATGTGCCCTTTACACCACTAGAAAATGTTTCATCAATAAGAACAAGAGAAACAGTAAGTGTCTAGCTAATTAAGCATTGTTTTCAAGCAAAACTAAAGAACATTTGCAATCTTTGTGTTTCAGTTAGTGTTTTTGTTCTACATTCATGTATCTATCGCAGTGACATAGTGCCCCTTAAAATATGGGGTTTTCAAAAACAATTTCCTATGAATATTATATTAGCCGCCAGGAATTCCAATATCTATTTAAAACACCAGATCGTACATACGAACTTCATGCAAAGATTTGATATCTCCACATTCCAAAAGGGGCTAAAAACTACTACTTGTTCTAAGCCTGCAACCCCTAGAGCAAGCAGAATACAGTAAAACAGGGTTCCATGCCAAGTTCTAAGGTAAATCAAATCGTCCAAGAGTAATGCCAACGAAAGAAACACCAGCACATCATAAGCTTAGATTCTACAGGTTTCTTGCCAGCCAGGTAACAAAATCAGAATTGTGAATAAAGAAAATCCCCAAACAAAGTATCAATCTTTACTTTCAAATTTAGTCAAGACAAGCTAGTGGGAATTCAAATTCAATCAAAATGAGCTAGTGGGAATAAATGATAGGAAAAAGAGCTAGAAGGGACAGGATAGATATGGATATAAGAAAGTACTTGGGAACCATGGCGGCTGCATTTCTCTTCTGACTCCCTTCTTCTCCTATCGGAAACTTCGGACGTATTAATATGTGCCCAACCTGTTCGCCTAACTCCTAGAACTCGCATGGCCCTCTTCTATTGCATCATCCACATATTTTACAACAAGGATTAGAAACTCCACTTAGAGACCTTCAGCGCCGAAAGCCCTAGATCCATACTGGACTCTGGAGACATGATGACGACAGACAAGTGCCCGAGTGAATTTGGAGATCGAGGACGTGATGTGTTCTTTGGTTTGGTAGTCGATCCCTGGTTTTCTGTTTTCTGATTCTGCCCAAAAAACAAAAGCGAGCAGTTAAATGAAATTTAATTAATGAAAATTAATAAATAAAAAAGCTTTGGACGGAGAAGGGCCACTTTTAATGGGCTACACGGGTTGGGTTGGAATTTAATGAATTCAGCCCTATGCCAGATCATATCCACGTTGCCCAATTAGAAAGTGCGTTACTTGTACTGCACTTTTTACAGCGGCACCATAATATTGGCCCGTTTAATAGAGGTATGGGTCTTCAACTGTCTCTTCTGAATTTGAATGGTAATTTTACCGGCCCACAAGTGCTAAACACATAGCCAAACGAGGGAGAAGTGTGAGCCTAAGTGACTAGTAGTTGTACAGGAAATAAGTATTATTTGTGAGCCTTTCATTATAACTAGTAATCCCCCCGCGCTCTGTCGCGGGATATGCTTGACTTGCATAATTTTTTGGTGCTATAATGGAGAGTCGGAGAGAATGTACAAATAAAACAGTTATACTGCTATTTGCTCACTACTAACATCCATCCAACATATGTTGGGTTACATAAAAGCAATTAGTGTTTTTGACACGTTTACTTAGCAACATCAACATGCTCTTGATAATTACGTTTTAGCATCATGTTGTAAGTTCAAAGAACTGACATGACGCAACAATAACGTCTTCGATTGATGATAACATGAGTGTAGGGAATACAACAAATTTTGCTGAAGTTTAGTCAAACTCCAAAATAGGATAAATTAAACAAACAAAATAACTAAACATGGACAAAAGTAGAAAAGATATACTACAACTGCAAGCAAAAAATGAAAACATGGAACTATCTACTTCCTCAATAGCAAGCAAAAAGTGCAACATTCACGCCATCAACTCTGGCTCCCTTTTGCTGCAGACAAAAGCGATGAATCAGAGAGACAAACATGGCAGATTACCAGGGGGAGAAGGGAAAAAAGAGAAGGAAAAGAGAATGATAAAATTACCTTCGCCGATGCCTAGCCACTGTCGCAAGAGAAGATGATTATGACGATGCGGACCGTCTCTAACCTAGCTGTAGATCTAGATGTGAAGAGGAAAATTGGAGGGAATCACACTCCACAAAATGATGAATACAAAATGTCGCAACCGTCCCTCCGGGGGGTCCGATGTCGTCGCGTCGGCTGTTTTTGGGAGTCGCCATCGATCTTACTTGGAGTGGATCGAACACTCTTCGAATCGGCTCTAACCTTAGGGTCAGAACCGAGATATGGTCTGCGAAAATAAAGTTCTGGGTTCGGGAGTACGGTTACGTGTGGGGAAGTTAAGCAACACCCCCACAACGCCCTAAATCGGTACTACTTAAGTTGATAAGTTTTATACGTGTTGGGTGTATTTGATAATAATTTTGTAATTTTTGGGTCCCACTGGACCATTAAATAATTTTGATCATATTAGCTGTAATTTAATTATACGCCCACTGACGTAAAAATTTAAAGATAAAGTTAGTTGATTAGTTGGACTCGAACCTTATCGGTTGCCTACGTACCCGTTAGACGGGATCAAAGTCCACGTAGTTCGTTCGTGACTTTGATGATTTAAAATGTAATCTTAACCACGTTCCACCGATCGTGGTTCTTAACTTTGATCGTTTTGGGTGTAATTTTATCACGTCCCACTGAACGTAAATCTCGTATTATAACTTTGTTAATAAAAATTTAAATTGATTATTGCAAGGATTTAAGTCATTGGGAAGTATTTTGATGTATTAGAAAAGAGGCAAGATAAACTTAATCCACATTCAAAATGACGATAGTGTTAACTGATGCGGGAAATTTCAAACTCTTCAAAGTATGAGACGCATATGCAATATTTTTAGTTTGCTTTGCCTAGCATCTCGCGCAGTATTGATTGATAAGGGTACTCCCCAGCTCCCATGCATTGTTGAATGGTAGAGGGGCTCGCCAGCTCCTGTGTGGTATTGAATGGTTGGGGCGCTCTTCAGCTCCCGTGCATTGTTGACTTGTAGAGGGGCTCGCCAGCTCCTGTGAGGTATTGAATGGTTGGGGCGCTCTTCAGCTCCCGTGCGTTGTTGACTTGTAGAGGGGCTCGCCAGCTCCTGTGAGGTATTGAATAGTAGGGGCGCTCTTCAGATCCCGTGCGTTGTTGACTTGTAGAGGGGCTCGCGAGCTCCTGTGAGGTATTGAATAGTAGGGGCGCTCTTCAGCTCCCGTGCGTTGTTATCTTGTAGAGGGGCTCGCCAGCTCCTGTGAGGTATTGAATAGTTGGGGCGCTCTTCAGCTCCCGTGCGTTGTTGACTTGTAGAGGGGCTCGCCAGCTCCTGTGAGGTATTGAATAGTAGGGGCGCTCTTCAGCTCCCGTGCGTTGTTGACTTGTAGAGGGGCTCGCCAGCTCCTGTGAGGTATTGAATAGTTGGGGCGCTCTTCAGCTCCCGTGCGTTGTTGACTTGTAGAGGGGCTCGCCAGCTCCTGTGAGGTTTTGAATGGTTGGGGCGCTCCTCAGCTCCCGTGCGTTGTTGAATGATAGAGGGGCTCGCCAGCTCCTGTGAGGTATTGAATGGTTGGGGCGCTCCTCAGCTCCCGTGCGTTGTTGAATGGTAGAGGGGCTCGCCGGCTCCTGTAAGGTATTGATTGGTAGGGGCGCTCTTAAGCTCCCGTGCGTTGTTGACTTGTAGAGGGCCTCGCCAGCTCCTGTGAGGTATTGAATAGTTGGGGCGCTCTTCAGATCCCGTGCGTTGTTGACTTGTAGAGGGGCTCGCCAGCTCCTGTGAGGTTTTGAATGGTTGGGGCGCTCCTCAGCTCCCGTGCGTTGTTGAATGATAGAGGGGCTCGCCAGCTCCTGTGAGGTATTGAATGGTTGGGGCGCTCCTCAGCTCCCGTGCGTTGTTGAATGGTAGAGGGGCTCGCCGGCTCCTGTAAGGTATTGATTGGTAGGGGCGCTCTTCAGCTCCCGTGCGTTGTTGACTTGTAGAGGGGCTCGCCAGCTCCTGTGAGGTATTGAATGGTAGGGGCGCTTTTCAGCTCCCGTAAGTTGTTGACTTGTAGAGGGGCTCGCCAGCTCCTGTGAGGTATTGAATGGTTGGGGCGCTCCTCAGCTCCCGTTTCCTGATGCTCAAATCTTTTCCTACTGTATTTCTTTGACGCGCGACAGCGTCGGGGGAATTGTTGATTCTCTTCAGTAATCTTCTACTGTACTTCTTTAACGCTCGACAGCGTTGGCGGATTTGTTGATGCTCGCCATTCATCATCTACTGTACTTCTTTAACGCTCGACAGCGTTGGCGGATTTGTTGATGCTCGCCAGTCATCGTCTACTGTACTTCTTTAACGCTCGACAGCGTTGGCGGATTTGTTGATGATCGCCAGTCATCGTCTACTGTACTTCTTTAACGCTCGACAGCGTTGGCGGATTTATTGATGCTCGCCAGTCATCGTCTACTGGTTTATGATATTTGTTGCAGACATGCATAAAGTGATGCAATGACTCGCCAAAATTGTAAGTCAAAACGAATGCCAAACTTTGCACGAAAAACATGCAATTGTTGTATAGTTTGTATAAAATCGTCCGATGGATGTCTGAAGTCCATATGGATGTATGATTTTATGATATGTTATGATGATGTCATTGATGTCACATGAAGATAAAGTATGACGTATGATTGCTAGTTATATGATATGTTTGCTTCTGTTTTATGTTTTAACCTAGGGTTTCTTTCAATTGCTCATCCTCTAGAAACTGTCATTTCCTTTTGATCAACTCAATCTTTGGTTCTGCTTATATCGGAGAGACTTTCAGCTTGCTCGCTTGAAACTTATCTTTGTGGTGGTATTGTACGAGGATATACTTTGTGGGGTGAGTTGATGGTGTATATTGCTTCATTCTTCTTGTCGGCTAGGCTTGGGCCCACATGTTTTAGAGTTGTGTATCTCTTGATATGTGTGGTATGTTGGTTCCTCCTCCTTCTGACCACGAATTTGAAGGATATCAGGTTTGCTGGTTGGTTTAATGAGGTTCGAATGCTCTCGAACTCCTTGAGATTTCTTCATCGACTCATGAGTGAAAAGTTGATTTCCGATTCTTGGGTACTCAGACTTCCCCTTCTTAATGCTGCACCATTTTTGCCCCCAAGATCTGTTACTCACTTTCTAATCTCCGGAATAAAGAGTGACTTTATCAATCTTGACTTAAGATGCATGCAAAAATGTTTGAAATGTTTATTGTAGAATTAAAAATGAAAGCCATATAAAGACTTTGCTTTCGAGACGTGTGTGCGAATTGGATAAAATCGTTTTTGCGTAGTAGTTGCCATGTTGTCAAATTTGTGTTTTTTTTAAGAGGGGTATAAGCCAAGCCATGAGAATATCAGTAAACCCTCGCTCTCACTCTTGATTTCTGTATGAGAATATCATCAAGCCCTCGCTCTCACTCTTGATTTCATTGTCACTCATCCTTATATGTGTTTTGAGTTTACGACACTTCAGCTACTATTAAGATTCTGGTCACATTGAGATGTCTTCTTTTATGCTGATGGCCAACTGTATTCCTTGTGAAGATTTACTCAAACATGGAAGCCCTTGGTATGATTGATTTAGGAGACCCCCATATGGCTTCGTCACAGATGTTTTTAGTCCCATGAAAGAGGCTTTTGTCCGATATGACCTTGAGGATATGAGTCTCCTTGTTCTTGAGGTTTAGTTTATTCATATGGGCAACGAATATATGAAATCTTGACATTATCAGTATAAAGCCTCTCGAAGAGGGATTTTTGCCTTGCCCCCAACGTATGAGATTGACTTGATGGATTAAGAACCACTATTATCTGGATCTTTTTGCTGACAAAGTCATGTTCGAGAATACTGGTGGATTTTCTGGGAATGTATCTTCAGCTGAGTTTGCCCCCAACATTTTTAACTAGCCGAGGCTGTGATTTTCGTGAGTGCAATATGGCTTGGGACTTGTCGAGATCCTTGTTTGGCCTCTAAATGTTGAATGTTGTGGATTTCAGCTTCTGGCTTTCTCTCAAAATGATGAGTACTTTGGATGATGGGTTTTGGCTAGAACGGCTTTCTTATCATTGAAGTTTTCTGACTCGAAGGTTCTTTTTGCTGTATCTTGAGATTGATCTGCTAAGACCCTGACTTGGTGCAGGTATTTGGTACTTCAAATGCTAAATCGGGGGGCACCCAGATTGTAAGTCCCACGACATTTTGTTTGTTTTTCTTTTGTCTTTTTTTTTTCTTTTCGCTTTTTTTTTTTTTGCGTGCGGGACTTACTTGACTCTGTCATGCCCCCGACTATGCTTTTTCTTTCTTAATCTGGCGCTTGTCTTTGGTGGGACGAGTATTGAAAGGATCGAGAGTCCATTTTGATGATTGATCGTGTGGGTGTCACTTCTCGTTAGCTAGGTTGAATTGGCCATTCTTTTTGTAGAAGTGAGGATTTTGATACCATGCGCTTGTTTGTATAGATGAGTGCTTCACTCGTGTGATTCTTGGGTTTTGATAAATGGGATCCCTGAACTTCCCAGTCTTCTTGTCACGAGACATTGTGAGAGTTTCCTATCCGTAATGTTGTGTCCCTTGTACGTCGAGATTTGGCTATTTGAGTTCATGTAAGATGAGTCTCAATTTGTTGGCGAAAGTCGACTGTAGTGGTGACGAGATTCTACTAGTAGCATGATGTCGTATGCTCATTACACCTTTTTACTATTAGCTCACGTAATTTATGAATACCAGTAAGGTGTTTGTCTCTTGATTTTAGTGGATCATGCACACTCTCAACACCAGTGGGTGCTCAAAATATTGACAGTAGCAGGGTGTTTATAATCACTCAACACTTCTGGGGTGTCCCAAATCTCAGCACCAGTGGGGTGCTCATAATTGCTTATCATGGCAGTCTCATGGCTTAACTTCGAAAATAAAGTTGGATTTGGATGGCTTCCATTTTTGTAGAAGATAAATCCATTTTAAGAAAAAGAATCCGTAGTGGCATTCATTATTTTGATAAAAAAAAACATTGATGCGAACTCTTAAATTAAGATTGATAATGGTCACGCAATGCTCCGAAAAGGTCGAAACGTGAAAGATCTTTTATTGATGATGATGAAAGCAAAAGTGATACATGTTTTGTTATGGCAAAATGATCTCGATATTTATTTAATTAGATAGGCTCGACATCATCCTTGAATCGAGTTTTGCCTTGTAGTACGTCCACTAATTCTCATGCGTTGGCAGTGAATTCCTGTTGACGTCTGGGCGTTTCGGCTCTTCTTCGAACTTCAACCAACCAGCTTTTACCATCTCTTGAATCCTTATCTTCAGAGCGTTACAATTTTCCACTGAGTGCCCTTGGACTCCGGAATGGTAATCGCATTGCTTATCGAACCTATACCATCTTGGATATGGAGGTCGTAGAGTCTCACCCGGAATAGGAGCAATTAGTCGTTCATGGAGTAACTGAGGGAAGAGTTCGGTATACGTGATTGGGATTGGATCAAATACCCTTTTTGATTTCCTTGGGATAGTGACATCTCGATTAACACCTTGTTGTGGTACAGGTAACGGGATTTTATTTGTTGGTGTCATGAAATTCAGAGGTCGCGATATTGGTGTGGTTGTTGCAACATAAGAAAGAGCTCGATTCTTTTGAAAGTGACACTTCCAGATATTCTCTTCTGCTTCCCCCGGGGTTGATTGTAGTTTTCCTTTATTTCGTACCCTTTGGATTGCCCTCTCATCCATTTCGTGATTCTCTAACTTCCCTTGTCCAATGCAAATCACACGCTCTTCAAGCCTTTCTAATCTTCGCGGATTGTCACATTTTGATTGTTCTGCATCATGCACGTCCTTTGAGATCAGGAGTTGAGTCTTATCACTTGATGTTACTTTGCCGTGCGGTTGGTATAAAATTTCTTCGCCAAATGGCGCATCTCCATTTTTCGCTTCCATTGTCCTCTCAATTTTTGACAGAATCCTCAAAATTGTGCTAACATCCTCTTTCATTTCTTCAAGCCCAATCACTCTTCTCTTGATGTCATTTAAATCCTTCTGAAATGCCTCCATGACAAGCTGAGCCTTGGATCTTGTCGAGTACTTAAGGATTTGATTTTTTCCTTGTGGAAGAGCAATTTTAAGAAAACCTGGACCGTCTTAATACTGCCAATCTTTTTTTTTTATGATGGTGTATGCGTGATGCTTATGCAAAATGTTAATGATGTATGAATGCGAATTCATTTTTCACTTGATGCATGTGAGTTTTTTTAATCTTTTTATGATAAGTTGTTAATGAGTGAATTAAAATCTTATGAGAGAATGATGCTTATGAATTTTGAGAACGTTTTTCATTCATACAACCACACAGTTTCATATCATAACATCGTAAGCAAACATACATTTAGATAAGAAAACACATATCATTACATCCTTACCCTATTTAGGTAGACCTAGGGCTTTCGGGCGGCGTAACGACATGGTTTTAGGGTGGTTTTCGGAATTGTTTTGTACGGTTGAGGGTAGCTTCTAAGCTCACTATATGCTGGTTAAGGAATTCCTAGGGATTTGGTTCCCAAGTTGTATCCTGCCCTAGCCCTTTCGAACTGGCAGGATACCTCGAGATCATCCTCGGATCCGAGTTCAACTTGGTTGGAAAGTTTTGCGTGACTACCACCACTGTGGAAGTCACGGTACTCCTTTCGAATTTCTAAAAGGATAGCTCGGGTATAGAACTTTTATGCATGAATGCAGAATGTAATTGCGAAAATATAATTGCGCAAATAATAAAGTAAACACCCAACACGTAATAGGAAGTTAGAAAAACTTATCGAACTTAATCATGTAGCTCGACTCTCGAAGTCCCCAGCGGAGTCACCAACTGTCGCAACCGTCCCTCCGGGGGGTCCGATGTCGTCGCGTCGGCTGTTTTTGGGAGTCGCCATCGATCTTACTTGGAGTGGATCGAACACTCTTCGAATCGGCTCTAACCTTAGGGTCAGAACCGAGATATGGTCTGCGAAAATAAAGTTCTAGGTTCGGGAGTACGGTTACGTGTGGGGAAGTTAAGCAACACCCCCACAACGCCCTAAATCGGTACTACTTAAGTTGATAAGTTTTATACGTGTTGGGTGTATTTGATAATAATTTTGTAATTTTTGGGTCCCACTGGACCATTAAATAATTTTGATCATATTAGCTGTAATTTAATTATACGCCCACTGACGTAAAAATTTAAAGATAAAGTTAGTTGATTAGTTGCACTCGAACCTTATCGGTTGCCTACGTACCCGTTAGACGGGATCAAAGTCCACGTAGTTCGTTCGTGACTTTGATGATTTAAAATGTAATCTTAACCACGTTCCACCGATCGTGGTTCTTAACTTTGATCGTTTTGGGTGTAATTTTATCACGTCCCACTGAACGTAAATCTCGTATTATAACTTTGTTAATAAAAATTTAAATTGATTATTGCAAGGATTTTAGTCATTGGGAAGTATTTTGATGTGTTAGAAAAGAGGCAAGATAAACTTAATCCACATTCAACATTTCGTATTAAGAAATTTAAACAAAATAAAACTAAGCGGGATGGTTTAAGTAACGGAAAATGGGCCGGTAGCCCAACTGGCTGGCTCACTAGTCGGAGCGTGTTCGCCCTTGAGGACACCTGTTCGAAACCCCTCCAGCAGCATTTATTTTGGTTTCTCGTTTTGTTTAAGAGAAGGGGGGAGGGTAGTTTTGTAATTACTGAAAAACGCGGTGGCAGGGGTGTGTATTTGCAACGAAAACCTAGGGGCAATTACGTCATTTAGACCCGACAGGTATAAATTCCTTTTTGCAGCCTCCTAACCCTAAATCGGCCGCTCTCAACCTCTGGTTCTCTCCTCTCTCGTCCAGAAACGAAAACCCGTCAAAAATCGAAGAATCCTAGCCTTTTCTTTCGAAATCGACGAGGGAGATGGGAAGGACGGCTTCTCTTATTCTATCCCTCGATCTGCCTATCCTCTCCTTCTGATGAAACTCGAGCGAAATCCCCAGGAAAGTGACGACAAGCAGAAATCCCTTTGTAGACCACAAAACGAAGATGATCCGGAAGGTCCTCACGTCGGCGGTAAGCGACTTCTACCCTTGCATGTTATCTTTTTATCGATCTCGGTTTAAGAGCTATTCTAGGATTCTGACCTTCCGTTTTGGTTTTTGGGTTCTCTCTGGTGTATGATCGAGGGGGAGAGGGGGCGGCGAGCCTTGCCGCCGGCGACAAAGACTCCGGCACCGATTTTGTATTGGGTGAGTTCTTCCTCTATTTGTTTCGATCTTCCTAGGTTAGATGGTTTTAATTAATTTTGACTAGGGTTTTTAATAGCTAGGATGTAATTTCTTAATCTGCCGGCTGAATTGGTGTGTATCGTGACTAAGAAAATAATTTTTTCTACTAAGGTTTGAAATTCTAAATAATTTTAAGATAACCGAAAATCACAGCCCCTGCTTGTGATTTCAGAAGAAAGAAAATTGTTGTTCCTGTTTAGGATTGGAATTTGGGGGTATAGCATCGGTAACGGCTTGGATCACCAATTTAGGTGCAGCCTAATATTGGTTATATGAAAATCCGTTTTTTGCAAAGTTTTAACAATCTTAGAAGAAACTTAAAGTCACAGCCTCTGCTTGTGACTAAATCATAAACTTGAGCTCTTATTTGTTTGCGATTAACTGGTTCCTTATACTATGGTTTTGTGGGTCGATTGCGAGGTTGAAGCTTTTCTACTATATTCTATATATGATGACAAAAACTAGGAAATTGTTATCTTTGTGGTTTATTAAATTTAAAATAAGTACCAAGTTATGATTTTCATTAAATCGATCTTAGACAGAGACCTGAAACTTAGGCGGGTTGATCGAACTAATGTAATCCGAATTAGATGTCTAGATACATGGATAAAAAAAACATTAGCAATCACGAAAACATATCTAGCAAAAGAACATTATCTAGCAAAAGAACACGGATACAAACTACTTCTTGCTTTTGTATGTTGTATGCAAGTCAAATCATTATACTCATGCTAGTTCTGTTTTTAGAGGTTAGCTTGTAGCATGATTTGCAAATACAAATAATAAGTGGAAGCAAAAGTAGATCTCTAATCAAGCCATATCCATACTGATGTACCATGAGTTACAGATCTATTCATTTCCACTTTATACTATATCTATTAAGTGAATACAGTGATCATTCGTATGTGTATGAAACGTGGGATATGTTTGGATTTCAGAGATACTAACCTGGACCGTTGCAAGTGGTATCTTTGTAATTGATCACTTGATTGTGAAGGATCTCTTGCTGCCCCTTTTTGCTCCTTGTCTGCTTTCTCTTTAACTTCTGTTGCCTGCTTTGTATTTCTTTGATTGGATTTTCTGCCCTCCTTTCTCCGTAATTGAACTCCCAATCCTTTCAGTTTCTCTAAAATGGCACCGCAAGCAGATCTCTCCCTCAACTTTGGTAACCGAAAAACCAGACTCCTCTCTCCCTTTCAGATCACTACACCTCCTTATCACTCTTCCCTCCCCCAAGATGGCCTCCTCCTTCTCCGTTTACCATAAGGAAGTGCATTTATAGAAGTGTTTTTATTGTTCATTTTGGTGTGTTGGCGTTGTTTAGTTGGTTGCTTTGAGGGGTGGCGCCTGCCTATTTTGAAGAGGCAGCAGCCATTATTTGTGTGTCTGAATTTGGTTTTATTTTAATTGCTTTCTTTTTGTTGCAGGTTGTTGTGTGGTGAGTCTTGATTGGTCCTTTGAAGAGGTGGTCGGCGCCTATTTGCAGGATGCAGCAGAGGTTTTTTCCTTGACCTGCGGGACGGGATAGATATGGACTAGGAAAACCGGGTTGACTCTTGTTGACGGGGTTGACCCTCGTTGCCTTGGATAATAATAGGAGACGGGCTGGAATTGGAGGTCGGTTTGAGCTGGGTTTAGTTAGTTTGAATTTGGGCTTAAACTAATCCATTTTCTTTTCCTTTTATTTTTGGAGGTACACAATTTGTTCGGGCTCAAAAGTAGGAGACTTTATTATTGTAATTAGTTTTAATCCTTCCTTTATTTAGAGGTTTACTCATGTGATGTACAATGTATTGAACTTGATAATAAAGTCTTTGTTTTGCCTCATTCAATTTCTCACATTTCATCTATCGTACCTAAATCCAAACTCAGAGCAACAAACTTTGCATTATGGTCATTTCTTCATCCAATTGAGAGTTGTTATTTAAGATTTCATTGATAATTTTAACTAAACCGATCCTATTGGTAATTATTTGTTCATATTGACTTGCTACTGCTAGTCTCAACCAAATCTACATCAGAATAAAATAGAAGAGAATTTTGGGGGGAAAAAATGGTACTCATTGACTCGTCATTGTTAATTTCAGCTAATTCTATCCGGACATTCACTTCAATTTTAAACTAATTCTATCCGAACATTCACTTTAATTTTTAGTTTCTATGTTTTAAGTATAATGTCTGTCCCGGACAAAATGTGGTGTCTACACAAAAGAACAAGGAAAATGAAACAAACAGATACCGGATCAGCAGATCTGGCTGAACCATGAATAAAAACGGAAAAGACCGCCCTCAAGCCACATCGCTCTAGGCTCCCCCCAATCTCCCTATCTGATTCTCGAGGCTAACATCATCGTTTGTTGTTCCAACTAAAAGCATGAAAGTATCCCTGTGGTCAAAGCGAAGAGAAGTGAGATTCAATCTGTTCGTACAACCCAAAGAAACCGAGAGAGAGGAACCGAAAAAACAGAAGAGATAGTACCTTCGAGTGCCAAGAATCTTCTGACAAATCAAGCTCAAAAGTCGTGGCAGATCTGGGTCTCTGCAAAACTTTCTCATGCCTGTAAAATCCGCCCATTGCTGAACTATAACAGTCTGACTGGGATTCGACAACCTCCACAGCCCAGCCAAATCTATAACAGGGACTCGTAACCTGAAGAAAAAAGCCTAGAAGAGAGGGATAGAGCAAAAACATTGTGCCGCATAAGTGTTCCTCCCTCATCGATGAAGACGCTACGTCCAGAAGCAGATCTGAAAGTAAGATGGGGAATCAACCATGAAGACCTCACATCAAACCCATTGAAGAGAGAGATCGAGAGACTCAGAGAGAGAAAGATTCACTTACCGATTGAAACTCACCAGCCTGCCCTTTCAGCTCTACTCTGAACCCTAGCCAAACTTCCGAAATACAACTTGATCAAACTCGAACCCCGCGTTCAATACCTCCTAGCGACAGTCGGAGAAAAGAGGAAGAAAAACCTAGTTAATTACCGAAACAAAATGAGCGACTTAGAGAAAGCAAATCAACCAGCAATAGAAAAACCCACCATAAAAATCAGTTTGGTGTCGAGCTCGTGAGAAGAGGGAAAATGGAGTCGAGCGTGATAATCGTCCAGGAAAGCGTGTCGAGTTCGTGAGAAGAGAGAAAATGTAGCTGAACGTGAGAATCGTTCAGGATACGATCGGCGTCAAAACTCAATGGAGGATTCGATCGGCGTCGAGATTGTGAGGAGAGGGAGAATGAGAGTTGAGCGTGAGAATCGTTCAGGAGAGAGAAACAGTTAACAAATAAAGAAGCAAAAGCTGAGAGAAAGAGAATCGTCTGATGAGATTTGGAGCAGAGACTCTCCCCCTCTCATATCCTCTAATAAAGAAGCAAAAGTAGAGAGGAAGATATTCAGCCTAAAACGATGAGATTTGGAACAGAGATTCTCTCTCATAAGCATGCAATCCCTCCTCGCTTAAAACGACGCAAAATATTCAGCCTCTATTTTGGAGAGAGTCATTCATTTGAGGTCGGCGCGCTTTTCATGGTAGAGAAAAGAAGCAATAGAGAGAGGGTGGGTTGCAGACTTGCAGATGCGAAATGATGGCAAGGCAGGCTGGCGCGCTTTCTGTGACAGCTGCAAAGTGACGGCAAGGAAGGCCCAGCCAAACCAGCCAACCAATCAGAGGGAATAGTTGAGAGAAGCAGAGAAAGAAAAGCAGAAAAGCAGAGAGCGAAGGGGGAATGAGTGCTGATTTGAGGGCAACTCGCCACTCACAGCAACACATAAGCAAACAAAGCTGGCCCAAGACTGGATAAATTCGGTGGCATCCCAACCAATGTCACACCTTCCAAGCTGGACAAACAGCGGCGGGCTCAGTACTAAATTATTCATGCTCTTGGTACTAAATTATTTGAAAATTGATGATCTAATGCTCTCGCTCTGGTTACCTAAGTTTTAACGTATTGGAAAAGCTTGTAGACAAGCAAAGCCCAGCTTGTGAATAGCTCATCCAGTGTAGAATTTTGACCAATAGTCCGTCCAAACTCCAAAATCTATGCAATACCCATTTCCTTCTAGCCCATTACAGACCATCCTAACCCATCTATGCTGACTAACCGCCATTAGACGACGAAACGCCGATCCACACTCGGTTGGAGTGCATGGGATTAAGGGGGGCTAAGATCAAGTGATTAAGGGGGATCCTTAGTCACTTGACTAAGTCGATCTCAGGCCTTCAACTTCATTAAAATCTAATGGTTGCAATTGATCTCATCTATTGTAAGTAGTGTTATTTTGTATTGTTAGTATGCTTTGTAATGTTTGTCGGTTTATTTTGTAATGTTTGTACGCTTTGTTATTTTTGTGCACCATGTTTATCATTTTTGTCAACCATGTTTGTAATGTTTTTTACGTCTAAAAAACAACCTAGTTGACTTTTGGATGAAACTCTACTATATAGGAATGGAGCCTCCAAAGTCAACCCGGGTGTTTTTCTAGTTTGTATGGTTTGTCGGTCTAGTTTGTCATTTTTGTCCAACATGTTTGTAATGTTTGTGTGTCTAAAAAACAACCAGGTTGACTTTGGGACGTAACCACTCTATATAGGGATGGAGCCTCCAAAGTCAACCCAGTTGTTCTGTTTTTTTCATTTTGTATGGTTTGTATTGTTTGTCGGTCTAGTTTGTATTATTTGTACAGTTCGTATGTTTTGTATTGATTGTAAATCTATTTGTATGGTTTATCGTTGTAGTTTGTACTATTTTTATGGTTTGTACTAATTGTAAATCCGGTTTGTATACTTCGTAATTTTACATAATACCCAAATTATCTCTGTCATTAATTAAATAGTCATTCTTACTTTTTAACCGTCAGATTGCTGTTTTCAGATCTAAGGGTTGGAAGGGAATTAGTCAAGTGAATAAACACCCCTTAGTTAGAGCATCCTTCCTCGATTAAGGGTATGCCAAACCGCCAACCCTAAAACTATCCACGTGGATATCAAAACTCCCAAATCAAGCAGCACCACGTGTCCCTTCCTATCACCATCCGCCTCACTCTGGTCACTCTATCAACTCAACTCCCTCGAAGCCGCAGGATCAAATTTCGTTGTGCCTCGAAGTGGGAGCCCCACCCCACAAGCGAGATTTAAAATCGTCTCCCTTCCCTCCCTCCTCCCGAAACCAAATCCACATTTCTCATTTCCATCTCCGCCATTAAAACCCTAGCAAAACCCCAACAATAGCATTTCCTCCTTTCTGTCTCCCATTTTTCACCCCCACACAAAGAAAGGCTAGCTCAAAAGAATGGCTAAGAAGAAGAACCACAACCAGAACGGCAAGACTGAGAACGAAGAGGCTCTCAACAACCCGCCGCCGCCGATGCATCAGCAACAGGATCAAGAACCAGTATTGGCCATGGCGGATCAGCAGCAGCCTCCGTCGCTATCGCGGATTTCCTCCTTGGAAGTATCCGAAAACGAGAAGCTGAAGGCGCTGAACCAGCGGCTGATCAAGACCGTGGCGGCCAAGAGGCAGGATGTGGAGACCTTGGAGCGAGAGAAGAAAGGCCTGCAGTCCGAGTTGGAGAAGCGCGCCGCGGATTTCCTCGCCGGGAGTGACGAGATAGCTTGCTCAGAGATAGAACGGAGCGTCGCGTTCGAGGCTCTTAAGGAAATGGAAGACGCGTTCAAGAGAGGGAATCTTGAGAAGGAAGGCGAGATCTGGTCGCTGAGGGAGGTAATCGAGAAGTTGACCGGCGATGTCGAGTCCGAGAGGGAGAGGTTGAGCAAGATTTGCAGGGAGAAATATGCGATCGAAAGCGAGCTCTCCGGGAGGGTTGAGGAAGCTGAACGCTTGAAGGCGATAGTGAAGGAGATGGAGGAGAAGCAAAATACGAGCGAAGGTAAAATTCTTGAACTTAAGGTTGAAATTGATGTATTGAGTAGCCAGAAGAAAGACGTAGAGAAGGAAGTCGAGCTTCTTGAACGAGTTAGGGATTCTGCTGAGATGAATTTGTCGGTTAGGGTGAGTGAAATCGAAGCTCTGAAAGCTGAGATTGAGCGAATTCTTGATGAGAAGAATGCGATTGAGATTGAGAAGAGTGATCAGATCGTCAAGATTGGTTGCTTGGAAGAAGAAATCAAGGGATTGAATGATTCTGTGCTGAGTTTCACGACTGAGAATGGCCTTCTGAGCGAGAAGGTGATTGAATTGGAGATGAGCTATGGCGATGCAATTGAGAAGGAGACAGCAATGAGAAGAGAGATCGATTCCTTGATTGTAGAACAGAGGGAGAAGATAAAGATGGTCGAAACATTGACAGAGGAAAAGGATTCTCTCGGTAGGATGATAGATTCCGTTAGTGGAGAATTGGAGGGTAAGAACCTATTGATCGATAAGCTCTCTCGAGAGAAGGAAGAGATTGAGGGAATCTCCAAGAGTAAAGAGTCTGAAGTTGCAGAACTGCTGAATAAGGTAAGCGAGTTGGCCGGTTCTCTGATTGCAGCAAATGACTCCATAAAGGCCCAAGAAGCTCGAAACAACGAGTTAGCTTCTGACCGTACTCAGTACAGAGAGAGACTGGAGCGATTGAAGGTGGAGAAACATGATCTGCAGTTGGCTTTGGAGGACGAGCAGGGTTATGGAGTTAACTTGAGGTCTAAACTTGCAGAGGAGGAGATTAGGATCGAGGAAGCTGCAGTGAAGCTTGAGAAGGCAAACTCTGAGAAAGAGACCCTAATGGAAGAGAAGAAGGCAGTGGAAGCCGAGATTGAATCCTTGAAGAACCTTAGTGGTGCGATCGAGAAGAAGCTTGCAGAAACACATGTTGAGAATGTGGAATTGGAGGGTAAGCTGAAATCAACTGAGAAGGAGCTGGATCGAGCTTTGAGCCTGCTGAGCAACACTGTGAAATTGGTCTCCCAGAGCAGCAGCAGCAGCAATGGATCTGTAGATGGTGGTGTGCAGAAGGTTGAAGAACAAGTGGAAGCGATCAGGAGTTGTTTCAGAGACAAGGATGCAAAGGTGGAGGAGATGAAGCAGCGTGTTGAAGCTCTTGAGAAGTCTGTTGCAGAAGCTGAGAAGAAGAAGAGCTTCTGGGCTATGGTTTCATCTGTTACTACAGTTGTCGCTGCTGCGTCACTTGCCTTTGCTGTTAAAGTGCGTTAGAAGAGGAGAGAAGAAGCCATAGCCGCCAAACCTGCATGGGTGACTAGCTCTCTAATTTCTGTTTCTGTAGGAAATAAGGAGAAGGTATCTTACTGCTTGAGGGAGGGCATCTAATCTACTAAGAATGATGATGGGTGCCAATTTTGTTAAAGCTAAGTTGCTTACTTGTTAATCCCTGGCCTTGTTCTGTTTTCTTAACACAGTGAACGGATTTCGGCTAGTCTCTGGTTTTGATGGTACATCCTCACTGTTTTTGTCTTGTTTTTCCATAACTGAATTGATTGCATGATTTTCAATGGAGGAGCAGTTCTGGGCATTTCATGTTCTGATATGAATGAATTGCTTGATGGGTATTATATTAAAAGCTTGTTATGGGGAAGAAGAAAGAAGATAAATTGCTTTTTATTCTCTCTTTTCGTTGAATGGACAAGATGACTTTGTAGATAACAATGGAATCCATTAGATTTGTGGATAATATGGGCAACTATCAGAATGGGCAGTTGAACCAGAATACCAAGTCACGGAGAAGAAGGTAAAACTGAAACTACACGTGGCGTGGCGCATGATTTGGCGACATAGCAAAACAACTTTCAATCGATAACCTATTTTGGATTAACTTTCAAGGGTTAATAAGGTTATTAAGATATAATCAATTTTGGTCTGTGGTTTCAGAAATTAACATCCTAGTTTCACATATGCGGCATATAATCTAGTTTGGTCAAATGTCAGTTTTGACCGTCAGTTGGGACGGTGAACGCTCCAACTCAGCACTAAATGAATAAAAAAATTCTAATTTCAAATTATTTTTTTATATTTTGTTTATCAAATTATATAAATATATAAAATTAAGCCTAAAATAAAGGTTAAATACACTTGTATATTCAAAACTTTCACGGTTGTGCCAATAATATCCAAATTTCCTGAAATACCACTTATATCCAATTCCTTCACATTCTTTAACGGTGTTTTTGGATATACAAGTGTATTTAACCAAAAATATATTGGGAAATGGATAGATTTGGCAAAGAACAACTTTAAAACATGGATATAAGTGGTATTTCGGGAAGTTTAGATATTATTGGCACAACCGTGAAAGTTTTGGATATACAAGTGTATTAAACCTAAAATAAAATATGAATAATGAAAGAAAGCTCTAACCCTACTTCTCTATCCACTCACAATAAACCCCAAAACCCCCCAAACCTCTCCAATATAATTCTCCGCCTTCTTCCTCCTCATATTCACAGCCTAAGTACTAAGATCGACGAGACTCTGCCCGAATGGAGGGACAAGTTCCTCTCCTACAGGGAGCTAAAAAAGAAATTGAAGCTCATCGATCCCAACAGGGCTGGTGACGGCCAGGAGATAGGCCTGCTAAGCGGCCGAGACTGGACGACGCCATGAAGGAGGAGGAGATCGATTTCATTAAGCTTCTGGAAGACGAGCTTGAGAATTTCAACTCCTTCTTCGTCGAGAAAGAGGAAGAGTACATCATCAGATTGAAGGTAATAATAAGAAAAAAGTTATCTTCGCCCCCCATTTTTTTTCCTCCGCCATCCCCGATCCGGAAGCTCGAATCAAAACCTAAAACCATCCCCTATTCGACCGTGGCTACGAGATCTCGCGGCTGGAGGCAGTACAAGGGAGCGAGGGAGAGGGTGTGGGGGAAGTACGCGGCGGAAGAGAGGCGGCGGTGGTCAAGCTAAAATGATGATGAAGAAGAAGAAGAAGAAGAAGAAGAAAGAGAGGCGGCGGTGGTGAAGCTGAAACGAAGAAGAAGAAGAAGAAGAAGGAAGAGAGGGATTTGGGAAATTGGCGGATCTGGGAAATTTGTGTCCACAATATATATTTTGTTTACCATTCTTTATTATTTTGTTAGATAAAGGAAATCAGAAAATATTTTGAATTTTTTATTTATTTGTCACTAACGTGGCGGTGAGCTGGAGCGTTGACCGTCCAAATTGACGGTCAAAACTGACATCCGGCCAAACTAGACTATATGCTATATAGTTGAGGCCAAGATGTTAATTTCTAAAACCACGAGCCAAAGTTGATTATATGGTCATACTTCAGGCCATAATAAGGTATTAACCCTAACTTTCAAATATGACTTTTTGTCTGAATTTTGAAATAAATGGACAAATATAGACTGAAATTTGGGTGGACCATCGACATTAGCAATCAAATATTTTTTGCGTTTGTAAATCATCATTTGACGCTGAGGTAGCCGGGGTGTGGCTTCCACATTATTTATGTTGATAAAATTCATAAACAACACTTAAATAATAGAAACAAGAAATTAAATATTAAAATGTCCAAAAGACTATTAAATACTTCGGCTCATTCACATACACCACAACCTGGGTTAATGACATAAATATTGTTTTTTTTTTTAATTTACCACCAATATGGCGGATTAAAAACAAATGACACAGATATTGTGTTTTTGGAAAAGGCTTTAGCGGCCACACCGGAGACTCAGGCGCCGCCGCCGAACCTAAAGTTCCGGGCGCTGGCGCCCAAGTCCCGAGCGCCGCCGCCTCAAACTAATTTTTTTTAAAATTTCCCTCGGGCTCGGGCCCCCCCCCCTCCCCTCCACCCTTATCTCTTTTCCCAGCCACACAACTCTCCTCCCCTCCTTCTTCCCGAGACCACACAACCCCCCCCCCCCCCCCAAACCCTCCTCTTCTTCTTCTTTCTTTGCCCGAACAGAGATCCCCGCCGCAACTGAGCGCCGGCGCCTGCGAGTGGAGCGCCGCCGCCTGCAAGTGAAGCGCCGCCGCCGTCGAAGGGAGCGCCGCCGCTGGGGAGTCGAGCGCCCTCGCCGCAGCTGGGAGCGCCGCCGCTGGGGATTGAGCGCCGCCGCCGCAGAGAGGGGAGCCGCCGCTGCAGTCTGAAGCGCCGCCGCTGATGTCTTCCGACGAAGAAGCCGCCGGCAGAGGCAGGGGGAGAGGCCGACGAGGTCGTGGCAGCCGTTTGCGCGGTGAGACTCTCGTCGGCGGCTTGAATTTTTTTTTTAATGGTTTGTGTTTTTTTATTGATGTTTTGTTGTTTGTTTTTGCAGTTCCTAGGCTTATGGATCCTTATTCGATGAGATTACCGCCGGCGACAATTGATCCAAGTCCGGTCGATGCGACACTTCTTTGGGGACATGGCCAACATCGTATTGACTCTGTTTGGACAAACGAGGTAAGTATTTAATAATTGTTCATGTAAAGTTAATTAGCTAATTAGATTATTTTAGTTGGTGAACTGAACTGTACTGTTAGAGAATAGGATTACGTATTAGATTTTTTGAAATTAGTATAATTTGATATTAGATTAGATAGATTAGAATTAATTAGGTGAAATTAGAATTATTACGAATGAAGATAAATTAATATAAGTTTTGTGCACTATATAGGCTGGTGATCGATCTTTCCATGTTCGAGGTACGACCATTTTAGTACCTTACCGTGAGCTTTATCGGCCATATCTCGAAGCGGCAGGCTTGTTAAGTGTCGTGCCCCTAGTCCCTATGAACCCCGATGCGAGTTTGATTACTGCACTCGTAGAGCGGTGGCGACCCGAGACGTCGACCTTCCATCTACCGTGTGGTGAGGTCACGATCACGTTAGAGGACGTTGTTACACTGCCCGGTTTGGCGATCGACGGTGATGCCGTCGTAGTTGATATACCGGATGAGGAGTGGTCGGCGATCTGTTTGCGACTGTTAGGACGGGTTCCTTATGATCTTGTAGGCGGGGTCGCTGTTGTTAGGATTACATGGCTGAGGGTTGAATTCAGCCATCTGCCGGATGATGCATCACAGGAGGTTATAGAGCAGTTTGCACGAGCTTATGCTCTATCTCTGATTGGAGGTGTACTTTTCCCGGATCGGTCTGGATCTACGGTGCACCTACAGTACCTACTTCTGATTGAGGATTGGGAGAGGGCTGGAGGGTTCGCATGGGGAGCTGCTGTTTTATCCTACCTGTACCGTGAGATGGGTAGGTCGACTTTGCACATTTCGCATACCGGCACTTCTCTAGCCGGTGACCTTGGTGGATGGGTCGCCCTACTGCAGTTCTGGGCGTGGGAGCGATTCCCACATCTAGCTCCTCGAGATTCAGAGACGAGGGCACAGGCCACCGAGGATGCACATCCACGTGGTCTTCGATGGCTTTCGGCCAGCAGTCGTCAGTATGGTTTGACGGCCTCAGATATCATGTCGACATCAAGATGGCGATGATCCGTCGGTTGAGTCGTACTGCTACAAGAATGCACCAACTCAGCCTTTCTCACAGTCCATTCGCCTCCAGCATCTCGACATCCAAACCGCACCATCCAAGGACAATTGTCATCCTTGTGCCTCAAGCATCTGACCTTCCAGATTGAAGGTGACGACTCCACCACGCCATATTGAAAGTTGCGTTGTAGTGCGTGGTGTTTAATCGCCATCTGTGCAGCTTGTTTCGAGTGAAATATCTGCCCCTTGTAGAATTCTCCTTCAAAACTATCAACAATATGCATTGGAATTACGCCATATGAATCAACAAGTGAGTATTCTTCGTCCTCTTCATTACCCTGCAAGTAAAAATATGGAGGATAATTAGGCACTTCTTCCCCCTCTTCCTCCTCCTCCTCCTCCTCATCTTCCTCCTCTCCGTCATCACCGTCACCATAGGCATGATCGGATGGCACGCTCCATGTATCATCTTCTACCTCTCCACCCTGATCCTCACTGAGCTCAACATGTATCTCAGCACCCAAACAATAAGGATTTTGTGCCATAAAATTCCAAAGCACATTCAAGCTATCATCATCCACAATAGGCATTGCATAATGAAATAAAACACCATTCTGCCATTCTGGAAGACGGTAAATGAAACTTGTGATCACATCACTATCTTGTACTGCTTCGTCTCTACGCCGTATTCTCGGAATTAGATTCTCACAAAGATAATGATATGTGACCCTGGATGGAATCGTCATCTGAAAACTACTACCACCAACGAATTTGACGCCCAAATTATCTTCTACTTTCTCCGATTTCCATCGAACGACTAGTTCAAATCTTCTAAAATCACTACAAAAAAACAGACTCACTAATTAAAACTAAACACAATCATAATAACATTTGAATAATATAATTACAAAAATAAATGCGTCTCTTACCTATTAGCCATTTTTGCAGCAGCAACCAGAGCTCCAAAGCTCCTTTGTTTTTTGAACGATTTTTTTGTGGTGTGAAACTGAAATGAATTGGCTGGGTTTTTATATAGGGGGGAGGCTACCTAACTCGCTGATGACTCAGGCGCCGCCACTCTAGTCTCGGGCGCCGCCACCTGGGACAGTTTCTTACCTAACTCGCTGGACTCACCGGCGCTGCCGCCTGACTCTTCGGCGCCGCCGCTGTCTCTTAATCCAAAATATCATCCAGAGCGGCGGCGCCTAAGTCCCAGGTGTTGTCGCCATTTTGTGTGTCCAAAACACAATATCTCTGTAAATACTTCTTAATCCGCCATATTGGTGGTAAATTAAAAAAAAAAACAATATTTGTGTCATTTATCCCCACAACCTCGATTACCCCTTGTGATTCAACCTCTTCATCCCTTCTCCTTGTGAAGAATCTTCTCTTTATTGAGACTCAAGCTCCTCCGTTTCTTCATTTTCTTCTTCATTCATAACCTTATCATTGTTTCCTTCTAGATTTTCTTCTTCTTGATGATTAGGAGATGCCGGGATCATTGGTATTTATGCATTCTTTTGGAATGTTGAAGCGGTCAAATGCCAACTCCTGAGTGCTCCTGCGCTTTGGTGGTGGTGTAGGATGCATTGCCTATCACTCGCAGCCATAAATTTCTCCAATTCTACCTCCAATATTTTCTTCGACTCCAGGGGTGATGGAGAGTTCCAATTGAGATATGAAGGTGGTTCTCGAAGAACCATGGGGGAACTCGATAACCATAAGTGTACGGTTGATTTGCATGGAGAGAGGGTTGTTCCGAGAACCTCGGCCTTCACTTCTTCTTGAAGTTTTAGGGCAACATCATTCGTGATATGGTTGATAACCACACACTTGGTTGAAGCCATAGGGGTTCATGTTCTAAAGATTACACATACAACAACACTAAAAAAGAAGATCAAATAACACAAACTGTCCTTAGAAGAGAAGAGTGGTTTAACAATACACCAAAGAAAAGACAATACAAGATTTCATACTCAAGAACATACAACTACCACATTCAAATATAAACAAACACAAACATAAGACTAAACTAGTAGCTCTTAGCCTTTCATAATAACTTAAATCTCCCTTGCAACAGTGTATTTTTTTCATGAGGTTTAAATATGTAATCTATGCTCATGTACTCCTTCCCCTAACAATGACAAGCATACCAATGCTAGACTTGTAGTATAGTGGCTTTGAGTCATATTCCAAGGGGTCTCTAGGTCTACTAATAGTCTCGACTTGGACCTACTATCTATTCCAAATAGGTGGTTGATTGTTTAAGTGTGAACAAAACTAACAAAGAAAGAAACAAAACTAATAGAAAGGGAGATCAATAAAGAAGAGGTAGCGTCGGTAGACTTCGAAATAACTTCGACGCTTGTTAAGGGTTCACATTATAAGGGATTGGATTGATTCATCATTCACTCCATGGAAATACCTATCCAAACCTCTAACTCAATGATAAGGTAACTAGAGCTCCTATCACATAAGTAGAGGGACTTGATTATAAATTCTCGCAACCCCAACTACCTAGGTGATGCATTTAAATTGGAACTCCACTAATGAAGCTATCCCACTCTTCATGAGATAAAATCACTATGAAAGGGTCATGTGGCGCCATTATGTAGTCTACCACACAATCCTCGTCTATCTAATGGTTGTCCAAAACCTGGAGATTAGGACATGATCACCTCGTCAATCTCCAAGATATAATTACACCCAACTAGAATTCCAATTCATGCAATCACTAGATAGACATAGAGCAAGGGAAAAATCTTATGAGGATGTTATCAAGTCACCCACAAAAATACCCCACACCTATGGTGGGTCAAACACTAGAAATTGGAAAAAACTCGCAATCACATAAATGGAACCCAAGAATCATACATCATAATAATCATAAATAGTTAGTTAAAAGCAAATCAATATACCACCATCCATACAACACAATCTCTAATAAACATCTAGAGATTTCTACATCTAACTAACACTAGGGTTTAGTTCATAGAGAGTAAGTGTACAACGGGGAAAAGAACACAAATCTTGAGCTAGATCCATCATGTCCTTCTTGCTATTGCCACCCTCTTGAATCTTGAAGGATTTGGGGTTGATTCGGTGAAAAAAATCTACTAACAAGCCTCCAAACTCGTCACTCTCATTCTACATCTTGATAATGCTTGATTTCTCTCTCTAGGATGTCCCCCTTTCCTCTAAAATAGACCCCCTTATGTTTATATACCACACATGTCAAATATCACGACCTAGGTTCAAAGGAAAACCCGACAGTGATCTCTGACAATGTCACGTGAACTTTGTGAAATCTTCCACTGTCCACAGTTTGGGCTACGGTCTTTGGGTAGGCCGGTTCACGGGCAAATTGACAAAGTTCACGCATGTAGACATTTTCTTGTGCTCAGGATCATTTCTCATGGCCTGGCTTGTCGTGGTTGTGAGTCAGATTGCGAGACCTTCTTGAATCATCGTTTGTCGGCTCGAAGTGGAGTTCATGGCAGAATTGGGAGTTCATGAACGTGAACATGAGTCGTGAACTTGGCCACGCTTTGGGCCACGACCGTGACGTGTGCTTGAGTCTTTTTTCCATCATATTTTTGTCCTTCAAAAGACTTCTAATTGGCACGAAACTTGACATACATCTTTATAATCATATGTCAGGATTTGATATTAAGTATAAAAAAGCACAACCTAGTCTAGAATAGGATTAGAATGAAAAAATTCAAACCAAATGCCTAAAGAACGATAAACTCATGCTAAATCTTAGAGTATGACGATAGGAAGAAAATATAGAACAAAATCAATATCAAATGGCCAAAGATGATGATTATGGAATATAAACACCTAAGAAATGGATAGATAAATACAACAATCTATGTGTTATCATTCCCCCATCATCTAAGTTGCGAGGAATTACTCAAGCTAGCACCTAATGTAATGATCATGTCCATTCAATGAACTTCTAGTAAAATTCTTCGCTCAAGGATCTTGCAACCCACAAATCACATGGAGCAATAAGCCTAGATTCCTCAAATTGGAGACAAGCCCAATGGCAAATGGGACTTCGACTAAATGATAATGCAATCCAAGTTCCACACTAGTTTATGTATAGTCTTGATCTTGGGGATGGTTACCTCAACTTGGGCCAACAACAAGCAATAACAACCTTTACTAAAGCAAGGAATGACAAGATTAAACATCAAATAGACATATATAATAGATCCACAATCATTCTTACATACAAACCCATAAAAAATATACAACATAGGGTTCATCTTCCTAAACAAAAAAAGAATTTAGCACATAGAGATAAAAAAAGAGAGTGTACAATGAGGTCTGGCTACCATGTCCCACATGTAATCGCTCATTACTACCTCATTGACTTAACCATATCAAACTTAACCAATCAACCTGAAACTCTTCTTTTTAAAACCTTCTAAGCTAATTCGTACTAAAAAAACCCATTAAGGTAATTCAAAAGTTCAATTTGTTGATAAAACATACACTCCTTTATACTCCACCCGTAAGATGAACCCGATCCCATAACAATGCGTTAGAAAGTGGTTTGAGATAATATATACACTCCCGTGAATTTGATCACCAACGTCATAGATTTTAGCATCTTTTACAACATAATTAACCTTGAAAATTTTTGTAGGTCTAAGTTTCTTGATACGCAGGATACCTAAACAAGCACCTAATCAAAATATGCTTCACCAACGAAGGTATCACAAATACTTCATTTCCTAAAGGAAGTTAAGAAGTCCAAGAAGCAGTTATTGTTGATGAGTTGCTTGGAAGGCTCTCGAGGAGGGTTCGGTTAGCCTGACTACCCCTAAAGGGGTAGTGATTTTTGACACCCCCTTTATGATTGGCCAATTTTATTTCCAATCATTGGCATGTATTAATTAAACTGGTTTTTTTATTTTTTTTAATCTTGTAATTTCGGGTCTCTCACCACATTGAAAAAGAGAAAGAATCTGGGGAAAAACGAAATCACCCCCATTAATTACATAATTAATTTCTCTCACTGGTACATTAATTACACGTACCACTCCACTGGTACACGTACCACTCCACTGGTACACGTACCACTCCACTGGTGCGAGCAATCCACAAGGTAGGTTAGAGTGAGAACAATACCAGTGCAATGATATTTTTCATAACAATGATAAACAATAACGGAGCAACAATGCATTACCACTTCAATGATACAAATACCACTCCACTGGTACACGTACCAATCCAGTGGTACACGTACCACTCCACTGGTACACGTACCACTCCACTGGTACGTTTCCTCTGCCGCCGTCTTCCATATGCTCGACGTTAGAGACGAAATCGTCCAGATCATCTTGATGATTTCCGACCGTGTGAAGTGATGAAGTCGATGTCGCATGAGAGGAGACTCGAGGGGAACGGAGGGACGGGAGAGGGTCAGCGGAAAGGGAGGCAACGATAAGTTGGGCCACTGATGGAAGTTGGCCGACGGAGGGTGGACCGCCGGAGGGAGGGTTTGCTGGACTGAGAAGACGCCGGGAGAGGGTTCTGGTGGAAAGAAATTTGAAAGGAAGAGAAGGGGAGATGAAAGATTGTTGTTTCCCGTGTATCATTATTATGGGAACTTTCCCATGCATCATTATTATGAGAATTTTCCCAATAAAGCAATAATAATGACAACTTCCCAATAAAACAATAATCATTAATACTTACCCAAAGATGAAGGACACGTGGATAGCTGCAGGAGGCAAAAACCCAACCCCTTTTGGGGTAGTCATAGTATCCTGCCCCTCTCGAGGAATTTGCTAACATACTCCAAGAAGGGGATGTTACTAGCGAGCTGCACCCGCTGGAGCTAACAATCCGAAGGGAAGAGTGAAATCGGAGAACCTGTACCTAGAAAGAGATTGATTGTAACACCCATACATAATTTAAAACATTCACAAGATCATACTAAGTAAAACTATTTTACAATTCTGCTTAGTTTACAAATCAGACCATATTTTACATAAAATTTTAAAACTTCAAAAC